ATGTCTCCAAAATACAAGGAATAGGATTCAGGGTCTCAGAATCCGTACCGAGTAAATCGAAAGACATAAATCCATAAATAGGAGTTTGTTAAGAACTCAGGATTAAGATCATTCTATATATGACCATCGGTAGACTCAATTAGAATTTGTATGCTTAACGAAAATTATTAGAAATTCATATTGTGTCCGTGTCCCTGTTCCACACAATCTCATTATGCGAAATACACTCATTCAATATCTCACCATATTAACAGTGCGGATAGCACCGTTCCATTCTAAATGGGAATGACATGTATTAATAATGTTTTAATTAAAGATTTCAAACTTTAATTAAATTCATTATGAACAATGTTTTTTATTATTATCCTTAAACACTATCATCTCGTATATAACACTTATATACTATGTTTAAGGTTACATAAATAATCACGAAATTTTCATTTGATATTCATAAATATATGCACATAAAATGATGAATAAACTCTTTTATTAATTAAATAATAAATATCCTATTACATCTTATGCTTCTAGGATACTATTCCCAACAGGATGCTATAACAAACTATATGTGTGTAAAATTAGGAGTAGGACATACAGACGCATATGATTGGTAAATTGCTGAAGTTTTTTTTTATCAATTTTTAGGTAGGTTTCATGAAGTTATTTTAAAGCTTAGCGGAACATATTACCCAACACCACCTTTAGCTTTAGGTGAACTTTTAAGAATTAGTATTTTATTTAGTGAATATAGGACAAACCCAATCTTAAGAGTTCCTATCAATTCTATGGAAAAGAAATTTAAAAAATATTGGTCTAAGTTACCTTTGTTGTATGGTTTAGGTACTATTTTTGATCCTAGATTAAAATTATATGGTTTAAAATGTGGTTTAGAAAACTTAAGTGAATTTTTAGGCATCAATTGTTTGGATCAATTTCCAACAATAAAGGAAAAAATATTTTCAATCTATAGTAAATATGAGAATAGGTTTAAAAGCACAAACTCTGGAGTACAGGAGCCGTAACAACAAGATAAAAACTCGCATTCATTCTTGAATGTTTTCGGGTTGAAGAAGAAGAAGAAGAAGACAACTCAAACAGAAGCTGAGAATGGATCTTCATCAACAGGTGGCAGCAGCGGCGGCAGCTTCAACGAGCTTATGGCGTACCTAAGTGAGAGCTTAGTAGTCGATGGTACTAGAGAATCGTTTGACTTAGTTCAATGGTGGAGGGCACGAACATTAACTTGGCTAATCCTAACTCAATTAGCAATGGATATATTTTTGATCCGAGTCTCCACTGTTTCATCCAAATAAGCCTTCAGTACAACATGACGAATAGCCTTCAGTATGATCGGACGAATACTTGAGGAATGCCGAAACGCATTGCAAAGGGACATTGTTGAAGCCTTGGTCTGCATTAAGGATTAGGATCGTGCTGATCAACGTCTATAGGATACAATTTTGCCGGCAAGTCAAGAATGGATCGATGAATTTAATAGATTAGAATTTAATTTTGAAGATGATCATTCAGCTTCAAATTAAATTATAAATTTGTAATTTGTAAATATGTATTTGCTTTTGACATTATAATTGTATAACTTTGTAAGTTTGTAAAATTTGTAATTCATCACAAAATGATTGCACTCTTTTTTTCTTACCAAGTTTTTATCTCAATTGGGTTTTTCTTGGTAAGGTTTTTAACGAGACAATCATGAATTACGAATTTAAAAATTAATATACAAATTAATTTATTAAATTGTGTTAATAATGTGTGTTGAATGTTGATGTTAGTTTTAATATAATTTTAATACAAAACAACTTAATAATTATAAATATAAAAAAAATTCAGGTATTTCGGGCGGGCTCGGGCAACCAAATACAGGCCCGCGGCTCGTTCATAGGCCTTCTCGGGTTCGGACGGGCGGCTCAAAAATTTTGAGCGGGTCGGGCATCGAGTAAAAACACAGTATTTTTGAGCAGTCGTGGGCGGCCCGTCTAAAGTTCTAGCACTAATTGAAAGTGCGTGCGTGCGATGAGGAGAGCTACAACGACGCATCATCTCAGGCGACATAGGCTACGTAGTAGATGGTGGAGCCCACACATTAGTCACGTGCATAAAATCATTCAAAAATTGCCCAAAGGTAACAAAAATCCTTCTATTTGCTAAAATTATAAGAATAAGGACAACATTTTCACTTACTTTAAGTGTTTAAAGACGAATTGTGTCAATTACTTTAAAAAGAAAAGAAGGAAAAAAAAAAACACTAATCTTTATCTTTGCTTGATATTGAAAGCCACTAGTAAATGAGAAAGCACGATCTGTTGACGGGGTTAGGCTTTAAAAAAGCTAACCTGTTCTTGTTCTTTTTTTCTTTTTCCTCTTAACATTTTTAAGGATAAAGACTTTCACTTGAAAATGGAGTTCATCGTTATAATGGGCAAAAAAAAAAAAAAAAGTACAATACATTGCAACAATTTTTTTTTTTTTTTTTTGAAAAAAAGAACCAAAAAATTGATTTTTGTCTAAAACAATTAACTCAATTGGCTATTAGAGGGAAAATTTGTAGACAGAGATTTTCCTCATGTGGCCCAAGGCAGCTTTCTAAATAAATAATCAAACTATGAGAAGTAAAATTAGAAGAGATGTAACTTTATAGATTGTGAATCCCAATCATTTTCAGAGGAAAAAAAAAACTTTAAAAAATATATCACCGACACAAAATTAGGAGTTATTAGAGAAAGTGATAGCAATGCCTAAAATATTCGTAGTCAGCACCATTGTCATTATGCAAAGGAAAAAAAAAAAAAAAAGGGGGGGGGCCAAGGAGCCAAGCCAACACTACATTCCAAGACACCTACCAAATCTTCTGGGTTTGTCCTTGTTGGTGGGACAAGTAAATTATTTCATATACGATGAATTAGGATAAATTTACATTTTTACAAGAAAGGAAATATGCAAAATATCATATTGCAATGAATTACACTTAAAAAAAAGCAACTCAAGAAGTAATTATTCCTAATAATGTTATATTTTAATAATTTTTTTGAATATACCTTTTACCTTTTATGAGAAAACCTTACAAAAGAGACATAACAGGACTTTCATTTTTACCATAACAATATGGAAACTGGTTTCATTTTTTTTTCAAAATTTTATAACCACTCCACCTTTTGAGTTCGAATATTAATGTATGTAATATCATTTGAGTGACGAAATAGGATTTCCATCTCAACTTTAGTCCCATATTTGCGTTGAATGCGTCAAAATATATGCACCACCATGTGTAATGTGTCTCACACCTATGCAGGTAATTGATATGGGGTTTGAATCTTTGGTGCGCACCAATCAAATCAAGATTTTAAGAAATTTCGTGGGATTTTTGACTTGACATAAATAATATTATGGCCAAAATTTTTGTACATCTTTTTATGTTTGGAAAGGGAGCTTCTCGGCCTCAAAAATGACCACAAACTTAGAAACCAAAAAAAAAAAAAAAGTTCCATGATTATGATCTGCCTAACTTGGCAGGATAAGAGCAGAAAAAAACGACTAATAAATTTAAGTTGATAGTGACAATTAAATTCCACACAAGAGTAGACAATTGGACCACTAATAACGGAAGTTGGACATAACTGAAAAGAAGTCAAGAAAATCATATAAATAACGGAATTTTCAATAAACTAGTGCCATAATAGAATCATAATGGTTTGAAAAAGTATCATCCTCCACAATTTAGCCGAATGGAAAGTCTAAGCATTCCCATCTTAAATAAAACAATTAAAGTGTTTCATACTCTCAAACATGTTTCAGTTTTATTTATTTATTTTTCTTTTTGGTACTTAAATCAGTTTTTCTTTTCTCTTTAACTCTCTTTCTTCTCCAACCCCACCAACCAAGAAAAGTTTCCTCACTGTACTGCTTTTTTGCTTGATCAGTTTGGTTTGCAGCAGCAACCTTTGATCATCCATGGTAACAGAAGTTATTATTCCTTTTAAGCCTTTTTATGTTCATGAGATTAGTTTTGAAAAGGATCATTTGTTTTTTTCAATCACTATTTTTCCATGTACTGTTTGTTCCTTAAAAGTGAGCCCCAGTTTGTCTTCTGGGTATTGTTGTCGTTTCATCTCACTTCCTTTATAGGAGATGATTGAGTGAGAGAGCTTGGTGGAGATCTCACAGAATTTATTATCTTCTTCAGCTAATTCTATTGGTGGGAAAAAAAAAATGGTGTTTTGGCTGATAATTCTACTATTAGAATTACTTTTAACCGCCAATGCTTTCTCTTTTCATGGATCTGCAGGTAATCAGTTTTCTCCATGGTGCTTTGAATCAACCTTTTCTTTTCTTTTTTTGTCATAATTGGTTTTGATCAAATGATTACTTGCTTCTCTTCATGAACTTGGAAATTTAACTAAATTGAGGATCTGGGTCTTCATGATCATACATAGGAATAACTGCTCTGTGTAAAGTATTGGGTTATCCATCTAAATGCAAGTTCTAATAATGCTGTAACATAATGTCACTTTTTCTGCTTGATCTTTCCACTCAAAAGTCCTGAAAAAGTCCATAAAAAACAAGAAGAAAAGTCATAAATATATGCTAATACACTTGTTTTTGCACACTCATTGTTGGTTGATGAACATGTATAAAACTTTCAGACTTGTTTTAACCGATTTTTGGATGAATGTCTTTTAATGTGGTACCACAAACTATACTTCCTCTTAGCTTTGGCCAGAAAAGACAATTGCTTGTCTACTTTGTCAAATTTTTAATTAGCAAATGAAAATTTTATCACTGAATTAGATATCAATAGAAGATTTTTTTTTTTTTTTTTCAGACAAGTTTATCAACATACATAATGTCATGAGGCCTCCAAGTATAGCACTTCCACCATCTATGTCATCTTCTGGAGCTCCCTCAAGGAAATGGGCTCATGGTCCTCTATCTTCCCCTGCAATTTCTCATCATAAACATCATCACAAAAGGAGAAAATTCAACACCTCTGCTTCAGACCCACTTCATCCTACTTACACCCAACAAGGTCAGAATCTCTTGACTAAAAAGAACTTGAACCATATAATACACAACTACACAAATAATTCTTTACCCTTAAAAGTTATTTATATTTCTGCCTATTTTTTTAATAGGTCCTTCAGTTTCTCCTTTCCAATCACCCTTTCCTTCACCAAGGATATGGTCTTCACCAGAATCAGCACCTGCAGAGTCACCAACAACTTCCTCTAGCCACTATAATAGTATGGAAATCCTTATCAATTTTTTTTTTTTTTGGTTCTTTCACTTAATTTTCTGTAATTACTGATGATCTGATAAATGATTTTGTCTCCACTCCACAAGTGCCCATTCTTTCGCCTACAGTTTCTCCATTGGGTTCCTCCCTCAAGAAGCTAAAGGCTCCACCACCATCACCACTTTTAGCATTACCACCTCCACCTCCCAATACAGGTATGCAATACCAGTCAATTTCCTCACAAAATTTCTCACTTTTAGCATATCATTCAGGTATAGTCCACTTTTAGTCACGAACTATAGGACAAATCCTATTTTGGTCCCTGAATTATGAACTGTCCCAGAATGGGTCCCCGATCTATAAAGTTACCCCAAATTAGTCATATTGATCCGAGTGTTAAAAAAAGCACGAGAGATGTGAAGTGTATATGTTAATTTTGTTATTTTATATGCTTGGGCACGACTACTAAGGAGGACTCCATGCCTCTTTTTCCATCAAGATTTTAACAGTCCAACAGACATAAAGACTACATTGGGATAGCTTAGTAGTTTGAAGAGTTGTTCTGAGACGTTTTAAAACTCGGGAACCAAAATAGGATTTGGCTATTGTTCGGTGACTAAAAACAAAAAATTACCCTTTCATTTACTGTGTTTGCTTCAACATGTAGATTGTTCATCAGTGACATGTACAGAACCTCTGACATACACACCAACTGGAACACCCTGTGGTTGTGTGTTGCCAATTCAAGTAAAACTCCACCTAGGCATTCCAATATCCACATTCTTCCCTTTAGTCTCAGAACTTGCAGAGGAAATAGCAGCTAGTGTTGCACTCAACTACAGCCAAGTCCGCATTATGGGAGCGGATGCGGCCAGCCAGCAGCTAGACAAAACCGCCGTCCTTGTTAACTTGGTACCTAGAGGAGTTAAATTTGATTACATAACCGCATTTCACATCTACGACAAATTCTGGCGCAGACAGATTTTGATAAAGGATTCACTTTTTGTTGCCTATGAAGTTCTATATGTCCACTATCCAGGTATGAATCTGATCATACTAATGATCAACCATAGAAGTTACCCGTTACGTCTTTTCTTTTTCCTTTCCGTTTATAAGAAATTCTTGTGCTTTTACAGGTCTTCCTCCTTCTCCTCCTCCATCCCCTTTGAGCATTTCTACTATAGATGACGGGCCATACAGAGGTCAAGACACCAATGGAATGGCAATGAAACCTATAGGAGTTGCTGTGCCTAGGAGAAAACATAATGGCCTAGGCAGAAGCACGATTGTAATAATTGTTGTCTCATCTTTCACAGCCTTTGTTGTATGCTTAGTAGTTGTTTGGCTTTTGTTAGTGAAATTCGGTTTTCGCAACCACCGAACTGAAGATATTCCACAAGCTTTGATTCGCTCCCCTGCAAAAACAACAGGTACTAGCTAGCATTCTAATCAAATTCTCACTTCATTGTGAAAATTAAATGAAAACGTTATACAATCAATCACATAAATGCCATGAGAATTCAACAGGAGCTGCGAGGTCTGCGGTTGGAAGCAAGCAGGGTTCTGAATCGATGTCATTTAGTTCCAGCACAATGACTTACACCGGATCCGCCAAGATTTTCTCATTGAACGAGATAGAGAGGGCCACCAACAACTTTGATGCCTCAAGAGTGCTTGGAGAAGGTGGTTTTGGGCTGGTCTACAGTGGAACTTTAGACGATGGAAGGAAAGTGGCCGTGAAGATTCTCAAAAGGGACGATCATCACGGCGGTCGAGAGTTTCTAGCAGAAGTAGAGATGCTTAGCCGTCTTCACCACAGAAATTTGGTCAAACTGTTTGGTATTTGCACAGAAGGCCAGACTCGTTGCCTAGTCTATGAAATTGTTCCAAATGGAAGCGTTGAATCCCATTTACACGGTACAAATTACAAAATTAGATCAAAGTTGAAAATATGTTAGAACAAAGTTTTGACGTTGACTCTTTTGCGTGTTGTACAAGGTATTGACAAGGAAGCTGATCCACTTGACTGGGACGCAAGAATGAAGATTGCGTTGGGCGCAGCTAGGGGCTTGGCCTATTTGCATGAAGACTCAAACCCACGTGTTATACATAGAGACTTCAAATCAAGCAACATCCTATTGGAACATGACTTTACACCAAAGGTCTCAGATTTTGGATTGGCCAGATCAGCATTAGAGGGTAACAGACACATCTCAACCCATGTTATGGGAACTTTCGGGTTAGTTTCTACTTCTATCCTTAGAATGTCAACTTAGAGCATCTCCGACAAAATGCCAAATTAATCTATTAATGTCAAATTTAAACATTTGGGCAGAAAAAGTGCCATTTTTGGCGCTAAATTTGGCATATATTAGATTTGGTATCAAATTTAGCACCAAATGCAACATACGCCAAATTTTAAGCATCTGGTAGCTATTGGCTGATATCTTGACTTTTTCATTTCATAATTACAACATTGTCATTTTCAAGGCATTTAAAGATTAAAAATTTACTTTCACAAACTACAAAACTTAATAATTGGAAAAAAATTGAACCACAAAATAGAATATCACGTCAAATATGTCATTTTTACACTTTGCAGAGCAATTTGAATACGAATTGTCTTCAACTTTGAAATTCTTGGATATGTATCCTATAATTTTATAATCTTCTTTAATTTTTCTTGTTTGCAGTTACTTAGCCCCGGAATACGCCATGACCGGGCATCTTCTCGTAAAAAGTGATGTGTACAGCTATGGAGTTGTCCTTCTTGAGCTACTAACAGGAAGAAAACCAGTGGACTTGTCCCAGCCTCCAGGGCAGGAAAACCTCGTGGCTTGGGCTCGTCCACTCCTCACAAGCAAAGAAGGCCTAGAAATCATGATAGACTCGGCCATAAAATCCGAAATGATCTCACTTGATAGTGTGGCTAAAGTGGCTGCAATTGCCTCAATGTGTGTCCAACCAGAAGTGTCTCACCGCCCTTTCATGGGAGAAGTTGTTCAAGCCCTCAAGCTGGTTTGCAATGAGTTTGATGAGACAAAAGGGTTGGGCTCAAGATCCTATTCCCAAGACGATTTTTTGGCTGATACTGATCAGAGTAAGACCAAGACAGTTTCTGGTGAGATCGTGGAAGCGTCGCCATCGACAACGACGCGTTCACACGATCATCATCAACATCAACATCAACAGTTTTTCGTGTCGGGTTCGACTCATGATGTAGCACAGCTTTCGACATCAGGTTTGTTGAGTGCGTCAGTGGGAGTTGAAGAGCAGGAAATGGGGTCTTTCAGGAGGTATTCTAGTTCCGGGCCGCTGAGGTCGGAAGGGAGGAGAACGAGATTTTGGAAGAGGTTGAGAAGCTTGTCATGGGGAAGTATGAGTGAACATGGATTGCCATTGAAAATAAGGCCAGGATCTCGTTGAAGTTCTCTTGATTATTTGTCGTTTCAAAATAAGAGCCTATTTATTTTCTACCATAGAAACTTCTCCATCTCTTCCAAGTTGGCGTTTTCTTTCTTCAAGAGACATTTGAGCAAATATTGTGAGAAGCTTATGGTAAGATTTTGGCTCTGGAGTTTTCAACAATGAGCCTTTTTGTTAATGCTCAAAACCAGCCACAAAGTTTGCATGTGTCTTCAACTCTAGGTTGCTCCGGTTTAATAAAAATCATTTATTTCTCATTTTTTGCGAGTTTGTGTATTTGGGACGAGGCTTGTGTATAATGTATATTATATCAATGGTCTAACAAGGTTTCATGAACAAGAATAAATAAGTAAATAAATAAATAAATAATTCTAACAAGCTTTCAATAAATAACTATGCTCTAAACCTTATGTCACCCCTGATGCTTTGAAAAATCCCACTCCAATTTAAAACGTACTTCCTGATCGTTTGTAAGAGATGGCAATGTATCTAACAAATGTTTGCAATCCAACAGCTGATCGTCTTCAATGCTTCCGAACCTCTCAATCTTTGCGACTTTCAACTCATGACGCCAACATTTCATGCGGGAAGAATAGCAGCACACTGGCTGTTCTCTGTAAAATAGCTTCTTGCAAAGAACCTACATGCAAGAACACCATATGAATGATAATAAGCATTTCTACTCGAAGTCCAAATATTCCCAACTTCTACAACAATTATGATCTATGTCACTAATTCAAAAGAATAAAGTCACCCGTTAGTCTCCAACCCATTTTTCTAACAAGACAACACATGACAAACATGAACAAACATCATACATAACAATACATACAGGGACATGAATTTTCAAAATCCTCAATCTCTGATCTTGTTCAGATTTATCATATAATAAAATATCTCAATTTGACAGAACTCGTCCATTGAGATTGATCATGTCTGGTAATATCAAGGTCATATGTACCCCAAGACACAGCAATAACTTCAACAACTCTATAAGACATCCAACTTAAATCCTCAAAGTAAGAAACGCTCATACCAAAATCCACAAACAAATGCAGATGTTCAAGAATTTAACCCTACAAAATCTGATTGAAAACTGCTACTAACAAAACCAAAAATCTCGGTTATTCCAATTCCGAGAGACCATCCTACAATTTTCACATTTTCTAAACACAAAGTAAAACCCATTGTACAGAACATATCTGAAAACAAAAATGAGAATTAAGGTAATATTTGTTTCATTGGTGACAAGCACCAAGCCATGCGAACACAAAGGTGAGGACTAACTAACTACAAAAAATTCAGGGTGATTATCTATAACATAAGGCTGCCAACAAGTATACATACTAAAATACAAAAAAAATGGTAAAAGCAAACCTCTATGCATTTTTTTGGAACATAGACCGCGGGGGAGTAGATATAGTCTTTGGATGACAACTCCAGAGTAGGCCATCTATTAGAGATTGACAATCTACGTCCTTTCTGTCCATGAATAAATAAGCCAGCTCTAAATAGTCAACTTGGACCATTGGAGAAATTTCCACTTCTCCTAATTCTTCAAGATCAAAAGTAACCTTCAATCCAAAAACCAGTAATGTGTCACATGAAAAAGAAAAATTGCAAGAAGCCACGGCATCAACAACAAGAATAATACTATTAACCATACCTCATTATCATTGAAAATTAGCTTGAAATGTTTTCTTTGAGGTGAAGTTCCAATAAATTTCCTTAAGTCAAGGAGCCAAGAACTGAAAATTTGACCCCGTCTCGGCATTAAATACAAAATATACATTGTATATGGAATGTTCTCCGAAAATAAGACAGGCATGTTATAAGCCTGGCAACTAAAATACAATAGAGATGGAGCATCAATTTCAATCACCTCAGTCTTTTTATACGGCTCAAGAAAAAGCCTCTTAAGACGTTGCACAGAAATCCTAATCCTTTGCAACATATGGCAATGATTTATTTCTAGGCTCTCGAGGAGGGGAAATCTAGAAAGATGAGAATGCAACGAGTCATCAGTGATGCCACAATTACTTAGAAATAGTTCCTTCAGATTGTGACAGGAAGTCAAATTAATGCGACAAGGTGATCGTCGTTCATAAGACAGGAAACCGAATTGTTTTAGAATTGGTGCATCAATATCAACTCTCTCGAGTTTGTTGTTCTTGTGGAACCCCTATTTCTAATATCTCAAGTTTGTCAAGTTTAGAAATCTCAAGAGTTTTCGAGGTTGGGAAAGTTGCGAACACTGTTTTGAATAATATTTTCGTTCTGGGAAATACGATGCAGCGCTAGCTTTTGAAGAGAATAAAACTTGGAAGAAACATCTATTGATCTGACGACAAATGTTGTTTCAGGCAGAGCATAATGTGTTTCGTAATCTAGTCCATTGATACCGACATCTATGAGAATCTCCCGAACACCGTGATCAAGAGCTAACACCATCCATCTATCAATCATCGAAAACAACTTACTATCACGAAGGATCATGTATAGATTAAATGTCTGCATTCGCAATTTCTTCTGGATGAAACTACACAAGGACTTTTCCACAATGTTCATTATGTCGGGGGCTTTCTTCCAATTTGTTTCCTCAAAATCAAATATAGGAAAGGACTCCCAAATAGAATTCCATCTTTTAGACAATATAAACGTTCTGTTTGCCCCTTTTCTGGAAAGAAACGACAATATATGATACGATATAAAGTCTGGTAAGTTAGAGACTCAGTCAATTTTGTCAATTTCTCCGTCCATACCTAATAACATAAAAGAAACGACATTTATTCACGTATATTTGCGAAGCACAAATCTGATTATTAATATCAAAATATGCATATTGAATGAATCTAAGCAAAGAAAAAAAAAAAAGGAAAAGAAAAGAAAAGAAAGTTTACTTCTGTTATTGAGATCTATAAACACTGGCTTAATCGGACTCTGTTTTTGTAAACTACAAATACTCTGAAAATAAATAACTCGATCGGATCTCTCGATGCTTTTTATACTTATATATGTTTTCCCTTTCGATTCCACTATGAATTTGCTAACAAGATACTCGATTCTTGTTGGTTTCATTTCCCAAGTCTCTCGCAGTTTCCTCACACCTGCTTTGGGAAGCTACAAACAATATACGATTCTTAAGGCTTCTTCCTAACTGAACTAAGGTAACCCTGTAAAAGAAACAAGTCAAACACATTCATTTAAAAAATTAAGGAAAAAAATATATAATGTTATTATTTAATCGATTATCTATCTATCTATTACCCATTATCAAAGAGAATCTCTTTTTTAAATAGTGATCTCAAAGAGCTTTCTCATGCTGTCACATGACAGTTAGAGAACGTTTGGTTGGAGTATTCAAACTATGTGATTTAAACTATTTTTTATTTATGTGAATTTTTTGTGAAAGAAAATACTATAATGAACCACGAATCATGATTCGAATCAGGGAACGAATTCCTCTACCAAACATCCTCTATTCTCCTCCTTATTTTTTTTGTTTCTTTTTACTTTTTATTTTTATTTTTAAAAAATTTTAAATGTTTTTTTAGTTTCTCTTTTAGGGGTTAATTTTTTTATTGTTGATATGGTCAAATCACATCATATTAAAAAAAATATGCATAATAAATAATTTTTAACACAAATATAACAATTAAAATTAAAAAACTAACGGTAACTTATCTTTTTAGAACCTATTATTTTGTGATTTTTTTTACATGTTTTTTTAAAAATATATTTCTTTCACACTTTACTCCTATTATTATTGTCTATCTATTATTCTATTACATTCTCGTAAAGAAGAATGCGTTTTTAGGGAGAGACGTGCGAAACATTTCGCACATTTCTCCCCACATTAACCAAAAAAACTAATGGTAACTTATCTTTTTAGGACCTATTATTTTGTGATTTTTTTTACAATTTAATTTTACATGTTTTTTTTTAAATATATTTTTTCACATTTTACTCCTATTATTATTGTCTATCTATTATTCTATTACATTCTCGTAAAGAAGAGTGCGTTTTTAGGGAGAGACGTGCGAAACATTTCGCACATTTCTCCCCACATTAACCAAAATAAAATCCTTTTACTTTCTTGTCCCTTTTTTTTTTTTTTTTTTTTCCCCTCATTTCTTTCTTCTTTCTCTTTTTTTCCTCTAAAATACACTTTTTTTTCTTTTCTCAAATGTGACCCCATAAATTTTTTTCACTCTAATTATCTTATTGAAATAATTTCTTTTTATATATGTCTTAATCAAATTTTTTTTACAAAATGACTCTCCCAAATACTTTTTTGCTATATATGCCTTTTTTTTTTGCTTTCTTTTTCCCTTTTTTCTTCTTTCCCTTCATTTCTTTCTTCCCTCCCTTTTTACCCTCTGCAATACGTTCTTTTTTTCTCATATCTCAAATATGACCCTCATAGATATTTTTCCCTCTAATTGTCCCTTTTAATAATTTCTTTTCATATATGTCCTAATTAAAACTTTTTTTTTTACCAAATGACCTTCTCAAATACATTTTGACTATATATGTCAATAAATAATATTTATTATCTTGTTCAAAAATATTTCCTTACGAAAATATTTTATCTGCCATCTTTCTAGATACATTTCTTTCATGTATACTACTAAATAATTTTTTAATTATTTCATCCCGTTAAGAACTTTTTTCCCTTTTAATGTTGCTCTATATATATAATCCATTTCTAGTCCCGAACTATAGGACAAATCCTGTTTTTGTCCCTAAACTATAAAATGTCCAAGAATGAGTCCCTGATCTTTTATCCCAAATTAGTCATTTCTTTTTCGTTCTTATTCTGGCATTTTGATGACGTTTCATGGAATGATGTCGTACGGCATAATCATGCGTTTGAACTTTGTGCTCGTTTTAATTTCATTTAAATTATATTTCAATATGCATTTTTCACGTTGTTTTAAAATTTGACGTTCGGTTCATAGGTTCAGAATTATCATTGATTTACATGTATTTTTGTGAGAGAAAACATTGTAGCGAGTCACGAATCATGATTCGAACCATGTCACGTTTCCTCATACCAAACACTAGTCTCGCTTAATCCTAAATTTAATTTTGATTCCGTATAGAAATAATTAGTTGTTTTTTACAGTTGAGTTTTTAGCACAATTACCCTGAACTTGTCGTGGTTTATAGCAAATTGCCCTCTAAATTTTTTAATTTGACAATCAACTATCGAACTTGTACAATCGTTGCAATGTACCCCAATTTATTAAATTTGTTCAAGACTTTTATTAGATTTAAGGAATTAAAAGTTGAGGAATTAGAAGATTTGTGTTACACTTGAATTGAGATGTTAGAATTTTTTGTCGAATGTGTTTTTTCGACATTAATTTAATAAAATCATCATTAAAATGAAACATATTGCAACAATTTTATAAGTTGGGGGTAACTTTTTAAAATTAAAAGCTTATGCGATAAGTTGCTAAAGTGTTACAAGTTCATAACGTAAATGTGTAAAATACTCTTTACAATTTTATTGTTGTTTAATCTTAAACTTAATCGAACTTATTATTATCATTTAATCTCTTTTGTCATTTCACCTCATGCTCTCGTTCACATTTTTAGGTGTTGTTCGTGAATTTGTTGTGTATAGTTGTTAGGGTCAAAATCAACACCATAATCATCACTGTACACGTGGACATCATTTGGAAAAAAATGTCAACTCGAATCGACTGAAATCAACTGGAGTCCAGATCGACTCAAGACGATTAGAGAAGACTGACGACATGAGGAGTATAAGGACCACTGTCGATATTTAAGGAAAGAGATTCCTTGAAGGGTCAAATCGGATCAATAATAAACTAGAAAGTATCCCAAGAAGCCAATATGGAAATAAAGAAAGGGAAAGTCAACTGAAGAAAAAAGGGAAACTATCTAATTTAAGAGAAAAGGAAACTAGAAGGCAATCTCTTATAAATAGAGGGTGCGAATCACGACTAAGACATTTCAAAACTCCACATATTACGCTCAGACTCTCGCTCTTCCTTCTTCTCAAATTCTCCCAAAAGCATTGTAATTGTGCTATTTTCATTACATAGTGAAGAAACCCCTACAATAGACGTACTCTAGAATCATCAGGGAAACCACTATAAAATCGTGTGTCCATTTATTTTCTAACACCTTACATTCTCGTTCTAATAATATATCGACTCAAATTGACCCGAATCGACTCACCAACGCGATCGCTACCTAGGAGCGGCCATTGGCCTTTAAACAAATTTAATTGTAGAATTTGACCCCTACAATGGTTCTACTTACGTTGGCCATATGTATCAGTATTATCGTCCTCAACTTGTATCGTTCAGTCTAATGTCTTGTCATATTATGTTGTTTTCGATTTTAAGTTTCTCAATCATTTTGATTTTGTGGTCAATTTTAGGGTTATGTCACGTTCTAGGTTTTTGTCATTTCATATGTTATTATCGTTCATTATTCCCAGCCATTTTCTACATTTCTCATAGTTCTAAGTACTTTGTCATTCTCATGCGTTTTTGTATTATTTTCTTGTTTTCCTAGAAATCTGTTCTCTATAGAAACTAACTCGTTCATTTTGCTACTTCGAATCATAGCTCAAATTTTTGCTAGAGTGTTTTCTCTTATAAAACTTCAAATTCGACTTTTATACTATAATACTTTCTCTCATATAAATTCACTTTTAAATTCAAGTTCTCAACTTGAATGACTGAAACGAATGAGGCCTAAAGATTCTATCAGAAACTCGAACTAATTTGAAATTGAATCTTGACTAGATTTTTGGTTTGAGTTTCTGATAGAATCTTTAGTTTCTATAGAGAACGGATATTTTGAAGTTTTTTTGTTGTCTTTTTTCTGACTTCCTCTATGTTCTCACCTTTGTATAAAATTTTGTTCTAGTTCGACTTCGATCTTTTTGTTGTCGTGTTGAGATATGAGGTATGCTGTCGTTTTCTGATTTATATCACCAATTTCTTGTCGTTGTGTTGTTGATGTCGTTTCCATGTATTTTTGTCATTTAGTTTCTCTTGTCGTTTGACAAACATGGAAGCTGTAAAATAAAAAATAAATAAAAAATAAATGTTGAATGATATAATTCAAAGGCACCAAAATGCGAACTCCTTTTTTTCCCCTCTTATTTCGTTTAATTGATGAGAACAAACACAGGGAAAATGAAATTTTTAACATTAAATTATCTACGTAGAGAAGTCGAAAAGGCGTCGTTCACAATCGAAAACTCTGAAGGAGGACAGTAGAAGTAGTTATGAATAATACATACATCAAATAATACAAACAAGATACAAAATAAGAGTCTCATAGCGCTCTAGCTAGAATTCTCTTGAATGTCAATTTTTTTTTTTTTTCCTTTCCCAGCAGAAAATAAAAAGAAATAAAAAATTAATTTCCATCTACCACACATACAACACAAACAAGAGGCCATGACTATGGACTCGGACTAATTGCCGCAAAGCAAGCTTTCAATCTCTTTTTTTTTTTGTTTTTTTTTTTTGTTTTTTTGTTTTTTTTTACTGCTTGCTAACATATAAAATAACAAAATTACATCAAATTACCACAAAATCATCTAACACTCCCCACATTCTACTTATCGTCATTCCTAATTATAAACCAGCGGCTCTTCCCAGTCTCTCTCTCAAGATCTTAATTCCCATGTACCTGCATTCACAACAATTATTAGCCTTATTTTTCTCTAATTCAAACTTCTGCCATAAAGAAACAATGTTTTCTTGTCCTCTATTGGCATTTTCATTTTGTAACTTGTTTATGTGGAACTTTTTGCTGTTGGTTGATAAAACGTCCCCTTGCTACATCTTAAGGTTCTAAACTTTTTTTTTTTTTTTTTCAAATGTTTCTCAAAAGTAGACTCCTCAAATTACCATATTATGTTACATAACAAATAAATTTTCATGCGTCATATAGTCCATGACAATATAGGGTCCAATTTTCAATTTGCTACAGCATGCATGAAAAAAGTGTGTTTTTATTTTTTATTTTTTTGGTAATCACTTACTAGAATGATACGGTAGGATATGGGGAAAAAAAAACAAAAACAAAAAAACCTAAAAGTAGGACTTTGTTTTTAAGCATTAGATTTGTATTAAAACGCATCATATGTGCATTTTTTTTTTTAATTTTAGTTTGACTAGATTTAACATTTAAAAACATGCACTGTATATTGATATAAGGCCCGTTTAGTTCGCTGATTCGAGTTGAGATGTGATTTTATGTGAGAGTTTTTTACTGTAGTAAAACATTTAAATGTAACTATTTTTTAGAGCTTTTTACTGTAGTAAAACTCGAATTCTAAACTCGAATCGTGAAATAAACGGGGCCATAGAGTATTCCCACCTCGAAAATTAGCTCATTTTTCTTATTCTTTTCAAAAATTAAAACCAAGGAAAACACATGTGATTCTTACGTACGTACCTTCCCATCATCAAGACAGTGCCTTGAGGATTAGTTCCAGGAGATTCAGTGAAAATGGAGCCATCAACAACCCTAAGCCTGTCAACCCCAAGAACCTTGTATTTGGTGTCAACGACCTTCCCAACATGGCAACCTCCATGGTAGTGCCAAATAGTGATCACAGTGTCCTTGCAAAACTGCTCCAAGGATTTGGTGTCGTTTGGGTGCCTAGGTACCAGGTTGACATTGGCCTTCACACTCATGTTCAGCACCTTCTCCACCGTCGGCTTGTCGACCTGCGTGAAGTTCAAGAAGTGTCGCGATTGCGCCACTTTGATGGCCACTTGTATGCCGTCGACGCAGCGCTTGAGATCGTAAGGGTGGCTGAAGTAGTTGAAGGTGATGGAAGGGTTGTCGTCAACGTTCGTGTTGAGGAGGCTGATGTGGCCTGTGGAAATGGGGTAGGCTATTTTTTCTAGAATGAAGCCTCCTCTGAATGCCTCATGGGGCAACTCTTTTTTGCCCCTTATGTATGCTTCAATTGCTTCTGCTGTTCTATGCTTTGGAGGAATGGTTGATAGCTGCCCAATCTGCTCGTAATATATATGTAACATATCACATAAAGTTGCACTTCATATATAACTATACGAAAAAAAAAAATTTAAATTGAAAAGTAAGTTTTTAAGTATAGAATTTGCCCTTGAATAGAGGGCAGATATTAATTCCATCTAAAGTTTAACGGAAGTCAGCTGTTGGACAGCTAAGAATTATCTAATTATAAAAGGGAGATTTGTCAAACTTCGAACACCAAGATAAAATTTTCCCTTTAGTCAATCATTTAGTTTCTAGGCCACAATATATTTCGCAATTGATGCTCATTTTTTATATTAAAATCTCATTTACAAGAATTTTAACTACAAACTTGCTTAATTAGAACTTAACAAACTATACATTACGAGGTTTTCCTTTTTCAAAAAAAGCTATATATATATATATATATATATGTATATATGTTGTAGTAATTACGTACCTCAGCTGACATGATTCCATGGTGGCAGTGAATACTGTCCTGGGACTGCCCAAATCCACTGCTAGCTTCAATGTAAACACCCAACTTGGTAATGCCAACGGCTTGTATAAGTGACTGACGAACATTTCTATTGCTAGGCACAAAGATAGAGTTCATGGGGTTATCGGCCATGCCTTTTCCAACAAGTTCATTCTCAAGCACTATTGGAATCTTCATCTTCTCTAGCTCAGCCTTTGGACCGATCCCACTTAGCATTAGCATTTGAGGTGTTCCAATTGCTCCGCTAGACATTATCACTTCACTTTCTCTCTTGTCTGCTAGAAGTGCCTGATGTTGATTCCCACGTTCATCTTTGAAGATCACCCCCACTGCCTTTGGACGCTTCCCTATAAAAAATTATATTGCATTTTTATATTTTCAGTTCTAAAATCTTGATATTAACAGAGGCGGAGCCAGAAAAATAAGTCAACTAGGCGGAGTATATACACGAAAAAAACTTCCATTAGATTTTGCATATAAAATGAGCTTGAGGGATTTTACGTATTATTATGAGGCGGGACAAACATAGAATTTCTTTAGAGGGTAATACAAATTTTATGAGGTTTCACTTGAAAAATTAAAAGAAAAAATTTTCAGTGGGACGACTGCCTAGTCTTGGTTGCATATGGCGGCTCCGCCCGGCTTATATGTTGTGCTAACAAATTATGACATATAAAATCATCTTCACCTGAGGTGTCAAAGACCACTTTTTGAACTGTGGCATAAACCAAGACAGTGAGTTTCTGGGGGTTCCCGGAAGCAAGGAGATCGGCGGCGGTGTGACGGCGACCAAACCTATCGAAGATGGTCCCACCAACCTTGGTTCCATAGATGTGATCGTAGGTAAATCCATTAAAAGGTGACACACCAACGTCCAAAAGACTGTCCCGGAATGCTCTTTGCCAAGGCGCAAGCCTAGGCCTGTGAACTATTTGCTTCTCAACCCATGGAAACGATTTATTTACAAGTTTTGCATCCCAATTCATTCTTTTTATGAACCTGCAATCCAAGAAGGTTATATTAAGTAAATCAAGTAGTACTTCTTTTATTTCATTATTTGTCCTTCAAAAACATTAAGAATTGAGTTAAAGTGTACCAAATAAATGAAGACTATTTTGCAAGGATATATTAGGCCCCGTTCATTTCGCTGATTCGAGTTTAGAATTCGAGTTTTACTACAGTAAAAAGTTCTCACAAACAATCACATCTAACTTTTTTGCTACAGTAAAAAGCTCTCACATAAAATCACATATCAACTCGAATTAAAAACTCGAATCAACGAAGTGAACGGGATTTCTCTATGTACAGAATTTATTACGTTAGGTAAAATCCTAACTATGTGAAACAACATATATCATGACCCGTCCAACCAAGACCTATACTTTTAGAGGTAAAATGAGTGGCAACTCATAGCAAATGTGTGATGGTGGCTAGTACTGCAAAATAAGAAAAATAAATATATATTATAGAAAAAAGAAAACTCATATTTTTTCTGCCAGAAAAAAAAAAGGAAGGAAAAGAGAGAATATGTTGGATGGATAGGTAGGTCAGTTAGATGTTACATAAATGAGGTAGTAATATATAATTTCCTAAATATCATGGACCCCAACTTGTCAAAGAGGTCAACTTATTCCCAAGGTAAATTATTTCTTAATTTAATTAATAATCTTTATTTTTGTTAGATCTATCACTGCCTAAACACTCGCACGCAATGAAAACCATGTTGTATAGGGACCACAAACTAGGAAGCGTTTAATAGAATTTTGTGAAGGAATAATTATTAGTCAAGCACAAAATTGTTTTGATACTGCGTATGGATAAGATAATTACACATATCATATATGCCTTGACAAACCTTTACAAATTGTTAACAGCCACATAATAATCACGACGGTTTAATTTTGGCCAGCACTTTTTGTTTGACTCGGTTTGTTAGGATATAATCAAAATTTAATAGGATCAACAACTTTTTTTTTTTTTTTAAGAATGAAAAGCCACTTTACGGAGTACCGACTATATTTATTAGGTTACATAATTACACCTTTTTTTGTGGGGTATGTTAAGATCAACATCTAAGCGTTCTATGTCCAAAATGGAAAATTAATACTTGAATGGGAATTTGAGAGACCTTATTAGATCAACCAGCTATATACAGTACTTAATTGTGGAAGTACAGAATAATAAAAAATTAACCTCTCAAATCATGTTATTTACGAAGTAATAATCCAATACTCTGACTAGAAGAAGGAAATGGCAAATGAGAGGTTGCCGGTGTCAATTTATGAGATAATGATGATTTTAAAGAAAAAACGACTAACAGAAAATGTGGCAACCGTGATAGTTAAAAGTTTGGATTAGATTTTCTTGGCATTCTTTAAATACACAATAGAGCTTCAAACTTTGATAATTTGATTCTTCGTCGTAGCCGTATAAATAGGAGAGAAAATAGAATTTATTTCTTCCAAACCTTGTGTTTGTCAAGTTTAGCCTTACACCTTATTTTGTAAAATTCACATTTTCTATCTCGCATATTTTTCTTCTTTCTATGATACCTTAACACCGCGTATGTGACAACATGTCAGCACTATCACGTGACATAGCGCCATAACACATATACAAGTCTTTTGACTTTTTTTTTTTTTTTCATAATCCAAGTCGTACCAATTTCCCCAAAGACTAGTTCTAACTTAAATAATAATAAAAAAATACATCTTGTTCATCTCACCGATTCGAGTTTTGCTACAGTAAAAAACTCTCAGAAACAGTCATGTCTAACTTTTTTTATTAAAATAAAAAGTTTTTATATAAAGTCACATCTCAACTCAAATGAGCGAACTAAACAGACCTGAGCTCATGAGAATGAGATATAAAATTCATTTCACATATCCCAATATTTGACACATTATTAATAATAATACATTACGTACCTTGGGCTTGCTCTAGTGTAGAAGCCAGCATTGATGGAAGAACCACCACCCAAAACCCTAGCCCTAGAGTTAATGACTCCATCGGTTGAAACAAACGCTTGGGAAGCAGAAGAAGGAGAAGTGTCCGCAAGGGCAATGTGGAAGTTCTTCAAGAAGGAGACATTTACATTGGAGAAAGGAACGCCTCCTCTTTCAAGCACTAGGACACTGAATTTTTTAGAAAGCGTGGCGGCCAAGGGACACCCAGTCGTGCCACCTCCGACGATTATGTAGTCGAATCCGTCGTCGTTTCCTTTCGACAATGACGACGACGCCGAAGAGAAACTGCTTGCACGTTTGATGAATGGGTATTTGAATTCATAGAAGTTGCTACTCCTCTCCTTTCCTGCAAGCAAATTAAACACATATTTTGTGTGGTCATGAGTTTTAACTTCTTTGACCAAGAAAAAACAAATGAAAAGTTGTTCAACTTTCATATGAAAACTAATTTGATCAAGTGTTGTTGGTACATACATCACTAGAGAGTGTGCTAATTTTAAGGTTTTTTCTTTTCTTTTTTTCTTTTTTTTTTTTTTTTTTTTTGAGAACAATGAAGGATACCCTTTTGAAAGATTGACATTGGGAAACAAAGAACGACTCGACCAAGAATTCAATGAAATATAAAGGTGAATAGAAAGATCAAAATTGATACAACCATATAGTGTCTTGTATTTCTTATAAAATGGCAATGTGCTCAGAAGTGCCAAAATCACTAAAGCAATCTGGATAACATCAAATATGCTCCGTGGCATAATGAAGGGGTAAATTTACATTCCTGCCTCATATATTGAGATCTAGAGTTCGAATCATGAGCTAAAAAACCGTATACGTGGCTTGACTAAGGAGTAGAGAAAAGAAAGAGCAACTCAAAGTTTCTAAGATTCAATCTTCACTTTTTTAATATGGAAAATTCCAGAACCTATAAACTAAACCAAGACAGAGAGAAAGAGACAAGAGAGCAAAAAACACACAGATCAAACCAAGAGATCTTATATATTATGGGTAGAAGAGAAGGCAAAAGAGAATTAGTAAGAAGAGCAAGAAAAAAGAGAGAGAAAGAGAAAGAACCTTGGGCAAAGGAAAATAAGGTGATGAGGCAGAACACCAAAATGCTAAAGATGATAAACTTGAATCTACCAACCACCACCACCAAAGCCATTGATCAAGGCAGACAAGCGCCTCAGAAAAGCACTCACTCAAGAAGCTGCTGCCGCTGTCTCCAACCTCTATGTGGCTGCCTCTGGTTGGCCTTGTTTTGTGTGTGTGTGTGTTTTAGTCTTACAAACAATTTATATATATATATAGAACCCAGATTTGATTTAAAAAATAAAAAATAATTATAACTCAAAAAATAAAATAATAATACTAGAATCTGTTTACCATGAAGCTAATAATTACCAAAAGAAAAGGCGCAAAAAGGAAATAAGAGCAAAGAATGCTGTTCTCAACTGTATCTAGCTTCCAATGGAACTACATTAAATGATGAAATGAATGCCACGGTTGGAGTTAGCAGTTGATTTGGCCGTTGGATTATAACTCTCTTCCTGATCTGATCATGTCCGTCCATTTAATTAGTACAAAGCAACAGCAGACACACCACCACCTATACCTGGACCAGACCAGCCCAAATATGAATGTATGGGGACTAATCACATTGTTTATATATATATATATATATATATAATTGTCAATGCTTTTCTTTTCTTGGGTAATTTCTAAACAAGAAACTAGCTACAGCAAAGTTTCATCAGTTATTTCACTAACCTTTAATTATTAAGTGTAACCTTTACTTGATTCATGATCTCTTTCGTATACTAAACCATTGTGGTAAAAATGTAAGAAATTATCAGAAGAAAGAAAGTAATGATTAGAGCCCCACCTAAACACCCATCCCACTTCATCCCCTTAAAAAGGTGAAAGATGGTAAGAATAAGTAATTAATGCATGAGCATTTTTGAATCTGGGGTGAGCCTATTTAGAGTTTGAGTCTCGAAAAAGCGTCTACAAATTTGCAAGTATACCCGTCGAAATAAGGACCTAATAACTGGTCGTGTTTAGAGTGAATTTAGGTTTAAATGGTTTGATTGCTTCTTTTATATCCATTACAACCTTCGATAAAAATCCTTACGTCAACTCCTTCATTAGTAACTATATCCACCCAATTTATTTCTCTCTTCTTCTCAACTGGCTCCAGCAAATGAAACTTATAACTAGTTTTCCAATGTGGGTCTCTCTGGTGTATGAGATATATAAATATCATATCAAAGCACTATTTTGTTTGTGATTATTGGTTTCTGTTTTCCCATTGCATTAATAAAATGAAATTTATGGAAATAAAGTTCCTCCCAACATATATAGCCCATCATACTCACATATATACTAGGCTTCTCTGTATCATCCGAATCCTTGAATTGCAAAACCAAAGATGATGTGCATTTGCAAACGCAAAGACAAAAACAGAAAAGAGCTCAAGCTGTCATTATTATTATTTTGCAGACTGCCACACATTATTAAATTACTTCTGGGATTTCGGTGGGGACTTCATATTCTGGCACATAATGGGAGCCATGTAATATGTTCCAAGTTGTACAATGTTACACATGTATGTGTACATATATGTATGTGTATATATGTGTGTGTGTGTATATAGAGTATAAAATACTGTTTTCTTTTCTCTTTTTCTAGAACGTTCTGCACTATTCATGCTACAGACGTGGTGGTATATCCTATCATAAGGACCATGTTCATGCCAGATGCGCTTGTGAGGGAAATGGGCTTGATGGGTATCTCTTCTTGAGGTTGAAATACAACTGTAATCATTTGTTTGTCTAAAGTTTAAAGTTCAAAAACTAGCTAGAGCATATATGTTTCCTGCAAAATTCCAATATATATGTGTCTGTGTGTGTGTGTGTGTGTGTAAGCATATACTATATATAGCACTTTTGGCTAGTAGAGAAAATTTTGCAGCTTGATCTTGTACTGAGAAATATGATGATCATGCATGTGTGAGTCTCAATATTAAAAAGTATAGTTAACATAAATTGATGAGTACCTCTACCAATCAGTCTAAATCATTCCCGTACATAATTTTTTCATTTTGATCATGTTTTGTGGTCTGTATCTGTGTGTGTGTGTCTCAATCTTTCAGAACTCTATTTTACCATATAATATCAAAGCCGCTAGTTACTTCCTGATCAACGCAAATAGAGTAATGTACGGATGCATTTCTTCATTTTACTGATTTAAGTTTAAAATTTGAGTTTTTGTACAGTAAAAAGTTCTTAAAAACAGTCACATCTAACTTTTTTATTACAGTAAAAAGTTCTCACATAAAATTACATCTCAACTCAAATTAAAAATTCGAATCAACGAACTAAACATGCCCTAATTAACGTCTCTTTCTTTCTTTTAAGACTGTCATTCCGGTTATATGACACTATTGGGAGTTGGGGCCAAGGTTTCCAAGGGATGTATTTACACATTATTGCCATGTCAAATCACAAATGTTGTAAGGGCACTCAAATCAAAATCTATAGAAAATCTGAAATAGTACATGGAAACTTTTATGTTATTGGGAGAAAATTTTCAGGTGGTACCGTATTGGATATATAATAACTTGTAAATTTTAAGTTTGAAATTTATAAATTTTAAATGTTGGAGTTATGAAAATTACAATAGATGTAAATTTTAAAGGCATACGGTAACTTTTAAATTTTGAAATTTATAAATTTCAAACATTAATGTTATAAAGGTTACGACAGATTTTTGTACCGATATTGTACTGTAAAAACACCATAGAAGGATCTAATGTATCGTTTCATCAATTGTACAGAAAAATGATATTTAGATTGACTCACAAAATGATGGTCCATTAGGTTGGGTCCACTTACACATTTAGAGTCCTTTTAGTTCATGCATTTAAATCAGTGATTCTTAATTTTAGTATTTGAAATTTAAAATTTTTTGTGAAAGAAAAATGAGGGTCCATTAGGTTGGGTCCACTTACACATTTAGAGTCCTTTTAGTTCATGCATTTAAATCAGTGATTCTTAATTTTAGTATTTGAAATTTAAAATTTTTTATGAAAGAAAAACACTGTAACAAAATCAAAACGATAAATTTAAATGCATGAAACAAATGAACTCCTAATGAGATTAGTCTTATATAAATAACAGAATTTAAATCCCATCAAAATAAATACGGGTGCTTAATCGTATAGTTTTTAATTCCATCTAAATTTCTAATACAGAATAACTTTTTTTTCCTGAAAGGAATCAAATTGTTTTGGAGTGAAAGAAAGAAAGGGCAGATGAAGAATTAAAGAGCTCCAATTCATATTGTCATAATCTCCATGGCAGGGACATTTATTTCATATAATATTGTCCAGCTCCAATTCATGTTTGCTTGACATCTGGAGACATTTCTGCACTTGTGCACATGAAAAAACTAATTATCCAGCTGTAAAAAGGACCGGAAATTATATGGCAACCATCCACAACCGCTTAAGCTAAGAGCATTAATGCAACCGATTAAGACATCTTTATAAGTAAATTTGTAAGGAGCGCTTTTTTTATGGAAGTATTTTAAACCTCAAGTCATAAAGTTTTTGACCCACAACAGAAAGAAGAAAGGAATGTCTCGTTCACTTTATTAATTTGAGTTTAAAATTTAAGTTTTATTATAGTAAAAAGTTCTCAGAAACAGTCATATCTAACTTTTTTGCTATAGTAAAAAGCTCTTACATAAAATCACATCTCAACTCAAATTACAAACTCGAATCAGGGAAGTGAAAGGGCCCATTTGTGGACGTTTGGTTGGATGATTCAAATCATGTGATTCGAACCATTTTCGATTTACGTGAATTTTTTGTGAGAGAAAATACTGTAGCAAACCATGAATCATGATTCGAATCAGGGAACGAATTCCTCCACCAAACATCCCGTGTTATGTCACCTTATTTTATGTTGTAAATAATTAGTTTCCCATCTACCTATTTTCAAGCACACAAAGGCAATGGCATGTCACATCTGTTTTGCATCAAGAATTCAAGAATTCATGAGTTGAGCCAAACCAAAAAAATAAATAAATAAATAAAATGTGTCACATTCATAGTACATTGGTTTCAATAGATATGTACCCGTGAACTTGATCTTCAGATGATTCCAGCTTTATATTTACACAGCAATTGCAATTTTGATTAATAGAGAAAGAGATATGAAAGTTAACAAAAAAAAAAAAAAAACAACTGCATGCATAATTATAATGTCAATTGCAATTTGGTATATTTCAATTAATTTTACTCATTATCAAGTTGAAATTTTTGTCGTGTGAAACTTATAATGGCAGGAGTTGGAATGATAAAAATCTTGGTTTGAACAATTAAAGAGAATTTCGGATGACATAATGGCTCTCAACTTCCAAATTTAGCATTAGGAATATATAGGGTACATCTACATATATATATATAATTCATCCATATCTTTTATTCACTATTTAAAAAAATGGCAGAATTTGGTCCACCAATGTTTTATTTATTTTAGGTCCTGCATTTAGTACATTTTTCTGAGCTACTTTTCATGAATTGTTGATTCAAAGTCCTTTCAAAATCCAACTGGAAGTTGAAGCTCAAAACAGTTATGGTTATTATGGCATACTTTGATCACGAAACCATGAGAATAGTTATACCACACATAACATCCTCATCCACAAGAATGAAATGGGGCAAAATCACGTAATCATCTTCTCATCTATAAGATTTCTGCCCTCATTTTTTTCCCTTTATATATACATATATATATTCACTTGAGAGCGCCATAATTTTAAAAAAATGACACAAAACTGAAAAATATGAGTTAAGAAGGGCAAGTTTTTTAATAGTACTATTCTCCCTAAATACCCCCAAGATCCCCTAAATAAATTAAAAAAAAAAACTGCTAGATATGTGCTTTTTTTTTTTTACTTTAATTTTGAATGTTTTAGGAGATATTTATTTAATGTGTTCGTCTTTGATTTTGAATCATGATTTATAGTTCTCTACAGTATTTTTCTCTCACAAAAAATACACGTAAAATAAGAATAATGTTGAATTATGTTTTGAATCCATGAACCTATATAGTTGACCCCATTCCTTAAATTCCTTATTTCAGTGATTAAATACTGTGAGAGTATCCGTATCATTTGCATTGAATGAGCACCAATTTAATGGCAATTGAACCAAAATCTGGCCTCAAGGCCCCTCTTGTCCTTTATGGTTCAGAGGCCTTAACCACGCCCTGCACGCAGTGTTATAAAAGCTGTGACTTGTCATTGGAGGAAACTGAGCAAGCAATTAAGCAAAGGAAAATGTGGAGTTGAGAACACCACATAGTTACCAATTTCCGCGACCACCAAAGCAATAGCCTAATGGCATAAGATCACTCTCCATGTAATTTGCTAGATGGGACACAGGAAGTGCTCAGTTTTCATAGCCTTTTAGTAGGGCTCCGTCGCAAGTAGTTATAGCTCAATTCAAACATTTATTATAAGACCATCTTTAGCGTTTATTTGTCGTTACTTACTGTATGTTGTTTTTAAATTCTTGAGTCTAAAAGAAGTGTTTGGATAACTTTTTCCGAAAAACTTCTGGTTCAAATCACGTTTCATGGTTTCTTAAAAAAAATCCTTCTAATAAAACTTTAAAACTTGTATCAAAGTTTAATTAATACTTTGAAAACACATGTTCGTTGCTTATAGAAAATTTAAAGTTTATTTTTTATTTCATTAAGGCCTTTTAAATTGTGGTTCTAAACATTACTGACAAATCATAATTTTTACTTTTCTTTTTTTACTGTTAAAATGTGTGAAGTACTAGTAGAAGGTAGAGATGGGGGAGAGGACGAATCCATTATTTAGCTGAGAGCTGCGATGAGAGAGAGAAGAGACTCTCTCTTTGACACACCAATTTGAATCTTTCTATTAATGGTAGGATTTGTCAAATTCATTAATTAAATTTAGACTCAAAAGACTATTTTATCCATTAAAATATTATTAAAAAGTAGGAAAAATAAATAATATAATTATTAAACAAAAAAATATCATTTACCCTTTTAACTCTCTCACTCCTACTAAATAAATTACTGCAATTCTTTCCATCCTTTATATTTTACATCCCTCCAACTCTCTCTACCCTTCTTACTCTCTGTCAATTCTACCAAAAGGAGCCAAAGCAAAAGCAATGTCAAAGAGGTCTAACAATCACGCCCAAGAATAGTGTTACAAATGATTATCTCTTCCCACACTTTTCAATTTTTTTAAAAAAAAAAAAAAGAAGTGCAGTCCAAATTCAATTGAGATTTTGTAGATTTGGGACCCTCTGCTGCAACGGAAGAAATAACTCATCAGGTCTCAGAAAAGACGATGTTTGATCTGGCCTACCTATAGCTTAAAAACCACCAAAAGCCACCTAATCTATTTAATGTCTAATGCCTCCACTTCTTTGCATAAATAAGAATGCAAATTTGTGTGTTCAATTTTAACCGTCAAATAAGATCACAAAAACCTGGATAACTTATCTTTGTAAGTATGGCAATTTGTCCAATGTCTCTCAAACATCATGTCAGTAAAAAAATATATATATATAACTTATAGGAGGTTTATAACTAAAAATATAATGTTTTTTTCATATGTAGTGGGCACCTCCATTGTTCAGTGTGCATCCGGATTTAGCAAAAGGAAATGACCAAAAAGAGCAGTGAGGATTTGGGATCATCCACTTTCATTTATTGAGAGGAGCTCCTCACCACCCCTAGGCATATTAAATAATGGCAACGACAAGTCCACTGGTATTTATCCAACATTAAAGAGCAAAAAAAATAAAAAATAAAAAAATAAGTTGACCCATTAGCAAAAAGAGAGAGGGGGCAATCCATTCCAATAAACCAGTGAAGACTGGTGTTAAAGTTGTATACAAATATTCTATGTTGCTGATTTTCTTTTTCTTTCTTCGTTTTTGGTTTGCCAGTTTTCAACAAACAATTATATGTACGGACAGCCAACAATAAATAAAGGCTATGGTTACTTTCATTTACTATTATTTTTTCCTCAAATGAAATACAATGAGAAACATAGCATTACAACTGTCACGGGACAAAATTGAATGCAAGTACCATAATTGACAAACATCAAAATAGAGAATCAGAGGAGAGAACCTTGTGTAGCATAACCAACAAAAACAACCCAAAAGAGAGAAAAACCTAACTTTTAAAAGGGAAAACTATTTAACGGGGCTTCCTCACAGCAAACCATATATAGCCCCTGTATGCGGCACTTGCCCAAAAAATCAATGCCTCGAAGATCTCACCCTTTCATGCCAGCAAGAGTAAACATACAAGCTGACAGTTGATATTTTACGTGGACCGAACATGAGCAGCTTCCCGTTCGAGAGTAATGCATACCATCAGCATCTTCAACCACACGAAAACTGCTCTGGGATAGAATGTTTCATTTCACCTAATCTTGTTTCGAGGAGATGGAGTGGTCATTCTCTGTTACTTCAGATGAACCCGTAGATGACATATCACTGCTAGCATTAACCCCGTTGTGAAAGCTTTTCGATGCCAGGGCTGGGTTCCTACGAGGATCGTTAGCCGCAGGCACTTGCCCTTCTTCCGCTAGTTTTTTAATAAGGTTCATGACAGTGGGGACGAACTTGGCGGACAAGGAAATAAGCCCGGGAAGCTGCAAGAAACATACCACCGAGAATAGGGTATTCATGTTTGTCCATCAATGGTTTTTTGGGATAAAAACAGAAAAAGAGGGTCATCTATTTGATCTAGTTGAAAAATCTCTCTTCCAAAATGTTATTTATATACAAGCATATATGTCAAAATGTCATATGCCTTTTGACTGAATGGAAACAAATTTGTACACTTACAGCGCCGTTGCGGAATTCACCCGAAATATCTAGCTGCACCCATAGGGCTTTGACAAGCAAGAAACCAACAAAGATTACCCCCAGATACAAAGGATTTCTGCCAAAAAAAAAAAAAAACAAACGAAGATGTTTTTAACCAATGATCTATAATACCCGTCCCACAAAATCAAACGAACTCAAAAGATGGATACAACGTACTTTAAAAGTGTCATAAATTCATTAAATCCCAGAACAATCAAGGCAACGATGGCCCATGGAGGCGGTAACCAGTTGTTATTACGCTTGTTAGCTTCCTGAATAGCAATTGACACAGATATTTGTTAACACCAACGCATCCATGTAGTCATAACAAGTCTGAGTTATTTCATGATTTATAGTGACTAATGATAATAATAATAATGTCAACAACAACTACAATAATAATAATAATAATATATAATAATAATAAATCAGTATGATAATCGGTCGAGTATCATGCCTGTGCTGCAATAGCCTGAGAGACAGTGTACTCTGTTTCAGTCTTAAATTGCCTCCATAGAGATTTGCACTGGACAGGCGTAATCAATGTTTTTGATGATGGAACCTGTATTAGAAACGAGTATCAACATGTCAAACTCTATGTATAAGAGTCTCCCCCAACACAATGACCACATCAAAGAGAGAAAAAGAGAGGAAAATCAGCAGATAGGCATTAAGTCCTATCTGTCAGCACCTCCTAAAGCACCTATTCAATTACTTCTAAAATCCAGTTTATACGAACGTCTCCACTGATCACTTATAATTTACCAACAAAGCTAAATCTCAGCTTGGAACAGTTTCGTAAAGAACAGCTCATAAAACCTTGAGAAGTTCTCTATAAAGATCCAAACTTTGGAAAGAATTGAGATCACGGAAGTAAGAAGTTGCAACAAGAAAGTCTTTACCAGTTCCCAAGTACTCGAGGCCAGTGGGTCAACTGTTGTTAAGCTCCTGTCCTTGACAGCACCACTAGCAGAATCCACCAATGCAACGGATAAAGTGTTCTCAATATTATCAGCACCATCATCATCCAAACGAATTACAGCCATAACAGATAGCAATTTCAAAGACTGAAAATAATTAAAACCATCATTAACAACAACAACAACAACAACAAAAAAGATGTAAGTTGAAATTTATACTCAAGAAGAGTTATTTTGCCATACCGAAGTGCGGGCAGTTTTGGTGATCCCCCTAATATCTTCTTTCCCAGTCCAAACACGTGGCATTGAATCAGAATCATGGCTAAACATTGTTGTGAACCTGATAGCATAGCAATTCAAAGTCAATATCTGTAAGTAGATTCTGAAAATCAAAAGTACACCAAATCCACATATGGAATAATTTGTTACCTCTCCTTCATGCGCATCAATACTCTTCCAGCCTCCTCCTTTGCTTTCGCCTCAACAACCCCTCTTGCATAAACCTCTAGACTTGCAAGCATTTTGTTTTTAGATTCTTCGTACATGTCAAAACCAGAAAGTGCATCAGAAAGCCCAGAGACAGCTGATTCAGTCTCTCGTTTCAGGAGTTTTCTTATTGCCGGCCAGGTCTCACTGTTTGCTCCATCTAAAAGGGCTTCCACTGGTGCTGATAACGCCTCCTTCAGTTTTTCCTGCAAATATGCTATTAACATCAGCAAAAGTTCCAGGGATGAATTAAGCAACCTAAGATATAAAGAGGTCCAAAAAGTCTGTCATAATGAACACCAGTCAAAATCCTTGCATACTAATTCATGCTCCCGTCTTATTTCAAAATAAAAATTCCAGTTCCTGCTCGTACTTTGACTGACCATTCCCCAATAACTTTTAAAGTGATCCAACATCATACATTGTCACTGGAATTGCAGGCAACATTCACAAAAATAGGAATTAAGAGGGAGTGAAGATAACATGTTCTTACCTCATAGAGTGTGGTAAGTTCGGATAGCTTGGCAGCACGAACTGAAGAAATATGTGCATCTATATCACGCCGAAGTTTATCCCTGACTTTAGATGTGTCCCAGTTTGCTCGGTCAATAACAGCATCTGCAATTATTTGTGTCAATGTCTATCGTGCATGAAATGCAAGACTTGAATTCAGACTCTTGATCTTGAGCCCATTCAGCAAATCTAATTTGTCCAAGTTTCAGAGTCACCACTACAATTAACTCAATAATAATGAACAAAGAATAACTCTCACATCACGTCTTAATGGTTGTAAAGGTTGCAATTAAAATTTGCTTCTCCCTCATATTTAACATTATGCTGATGCTCCACACCTTCCTTAGAATTTATTGTTCAATTTTTGTCTCTTTAAGACTAGATTTTGATTCAGCAACATTAGACAATAGTCATACCTGCACATCTTTCATCAAACAGAGCCATATAAGACTGAGAGCAATCACGAGCAGCAACAGAAAACGCCTCCCCACTACCCAATGCCTTATCAAATGCTTCCTTGAAATGATCCAAAGTCCCAGCTCTTACATGTCCCAGTAAAGATTGAAATGCGGGTAGGACAAGCTTCAAAGAAGTAGGAGGAGAAACAACAAGGAAAAATGAAGTTAGGGAAAGGAATCACAAAAACAAATACTTCAAGAATTAAAAGTCTGCTCCTACACACTTCTGCGTATGATATATTTACAGAGTTGTATACACTGGATAGATTAAATATAGCTGTCTACAGATTCCTCTACAATTAACACACACACACATGCGATACTCAAGGTGCTCTACGATGAGAATCTTATTAAAATGAATTTAGGAATTTACAACGTCAATTTGCTCAGTCATCTCATCACTAAGATCAAAAAATCCTCGTATCAAGAAATAATGCTAAAAACTAATTGTCCCATCAACCCATGTTTGTAGTCTCATATCCAGGAGAAGAGAGGGGAGAGGACCTCCAAAGTCCTTTTTTTTTCTTTTTTCTTTTTTCTTTTTTCTTTTGTTCTTTTTTCCCCCTAAGAAACAGACAAAATGTCCAGTAAACATTAAGTTGGAGAGCAATATGGAAATGAATTACTTGTAGCAGTTTTTCTTCAAGCTGCTTTCGCTTTGCAGATCTAACACCTTCATCAAAATATGTAGCTTCTACGTCATACCTGAAATTTGAAAATTTCAATCAACAAAAAGCCAAAGAACACTAAGTTGAAAATTTGAGTATGCATTTTTGAGGTATAACATATCTTGAGTTGCCTAATCAAAAGAAACATGGCGGAAAAATTCTTTCATGTGTTTGAGAAGGTACAATTGACATAAAAATTAAGTTGTGTCGAGTGGTTGACGGCAAATGTCCACTTGTTAAGTTTTTATCAGTCTCCACTTCCGTCATCAGTCTGATATATATATATATACATATATACATATATATATACCTTTTTTTTTCCTGAAAGGTTATCCCAATCCCATTACATCAATAATGGGTGCAAGATCTTGATAATATTCACAAACCATTCAAGAGTCTTCTTGAAAACAAAACCAGGTTAATAATTTGAGCAGGAAAAAACAGACTAAAAACATTAAGGGCCCGTTTGGTTCATGGGTTCCAACTCATGGTTTTGATTCTACTACAGTATTTTCTCTCCAAAAAAATTTGAATTTAAAAAGTGCCCGCCAATGCCCAATGGGCTCTCTCATAAAATTTGAATGCAGAATAAAAATCACCAGTTTGAACCCATGAACTAAATAGGGCCTAAGGTTCTTGTGGCGGAAAATTCTAAAACTTCCTAGGATGACAATAAAGAAAAGATTTAAAATTCTTCCACTTCATAAACACAACTATCCATAAATCAAATAAAAACAGCTGATTACTTACTCTGATAGACAGGTATCAAGAATTAAACTGAGCTTGTTACCGAATCCAGAAACAGTACCAGATTGTACAGCCTCTTCTAATTCCAGCCACTCCTGTATCAAGGTTGAACAATTCAATACTTCCAAAGTTTAGATACCAAATAAATTTTCTTTTCAAGATAAAAGAAAAATTATAGAAAAGATGGAAATGTATGAATAGCAGGTACCTCATTTCCTGAAAAGCTGAAGAACTTCTCGTTGGCAATTTCTTCACAACGTACAGTAGCCACCATCACCTGTCAATAGATGGATTACAGGTGGAACATTAATACAAGCCACATATACGGGGGAACGCTAAGGACTAGATATTCCTAAAATTACAATATACCTTATGGGCTGGAAGATCAAGGTCTTTGTTTTCCTTGATCACTTTCCAAATCTGCTGTGAACTAAAAGAAAACCCTGATGCAGGAACAACTCCCCTTCGATCTCCTGCGAGTCCACCAGGTGCAATGGAATGAAAAAATCTCTGCTTCAAGGCAGCAACCTGATATATACAAAGGAAATCAAACAGGAAAAAAAAAAAAAAAAAGGAACGCATAAGATGCACTTAACCAAGCTAAATGCTAAATAACCAGGTTTACTTTTGTTTTACAAAGTAAACCGCCAGAACTAAAATGGAAGGCAAGGTGATATTGCACTTAATGCCTTTTAATATCAAGGCATATCGCAGAAACTCATGAAACAAAACGGTTTCATTTAGATATCCAAATAATTAGAATGACAATAGTATGCAAGATAAAGTTGATCAATGTTCTTTCAAAAATATACATAATAAGACAAAGAAATACAATAATTGTAATCCTCAGGGTTTTTCTTTTTTTTTTTTAAGTTCGTTCTTTTCTTTTGATCTTTAAGTACAAAGTCTTGAGAGAAGTAATAAACAGCTCATTTACTACAAACATCATATGCAAATTTCATACCTGCTCCTTAAATTGTTCTTCCTTTTCTTCATAACTTGAAAGTGCTACAACTTCAACCTAGACAATTTAATCATCAATACACACTCACTACAAGTTCTTAACAAAGTCATCCAATAATTTACTATATTTCCAAAAAAAAAAATATATATATATATATATATATCCTATATGTATAGTCATAACTGAATAGAGAATGCCATTGTACATTAAAAAATTCACTCAGAGGAGTCTCCTTATGGGCTTGAGGCTTTGGAACAGTGTCCCATATCTGCGGAAAAAAAAGGGGGATGTAAATAACAAATATCAAGAAAAAGTCAATAATGAGAAAGAAAGGATCAAACAATTTACCTTCTGAATATCTTCTCTAAGAACAGGTTCTAAATTCTCCAATGGTGTCTGTAACAAAGAGTGAGCTTACCATAAAACTCAGCAAATATATGTCACGGAAAGTATCAAATTATGCATGCTATAGAAATCACTAGGACAAAAGAACATACCCGTGTCTTATCACGTATGACAAACAACATAGTCGTTTTTCGTGGACTAAACAACCGCATCATCACCTTTAAAAGCAAATTAAATTATAAAATTGAATGAATTAGCAGTTCTGGAATTTGAACTAAGCGTGAAAAACATGAGAATGAAGTTGGGAAGAAAACCTGGAAGACAGTTTTTAAAAGAGGTTTGTTTGCAGCTTGCTCACGGCCAATATCATGACACCACCTATAAGAAAATAGCCAAACAAGATTATCATCCAAACTATAAACACTCAACATGGCATGCCTTATATAAATAAAAGGGGTAAAAAGGACTACCATTCCCATATGAACTATAGAAAGTATATGTAAAAGTAAAAAAATAAGCAATAGACTTCAGTCGATATACTACTTACATGTTTATGAGCACAATATCTGAAACAGCAAGAGCAAAAAGAGCACTCTGCTTCTCAAATGCTGTGTCATCCTGAAGATAAAACCAAATCAGAAGAAGAAAACTATATTCACCTCCTTCATGAAATACCCATCTTAAACACTATGATCAATATTATACTTCTGGAACTTTAAATAAAAGGAAATATAACTTCCAATTAGTAAAAAGAATCTCAATGCATAATATATGTTAGATGATTTTTATCCTTTCTGTAATAAGTAGCAGAGAAGATCACGAAATGAAAACGGGCTTGAAAAGGCACCTCTCCTCTTTCTCTTCCATCAGTTCCCTCCAAATCCATTACAAGCGTACAAGGCTCGATATCAGCACATTTCGCTAACCAAATACCTTTAGTAGTTTGAGACCTGCAAAGAAGCAGTCCCCAATATGCCAACATCTGAATTATCAATTCACCAATGTCTATCAAACATACGATTCATGTTGTATAACAGGATTGTGAAAACACACCTTCCCTTAAAAGCATCCATCTCTCTGAAGTTGGTACCAAATAAATGATTCAATAGAGTGCTCTTTCCTGTCAAGATCACCAATCACAATATGAAAATACAAACTAAGGCATATAAAATCAAAATATCCAACTGAGTTCACAAACGCCTCACTAATATTAAATAAGATGACGTTTGGTTGATGGATTCAAAAATATGATTCATAACCATTCTCGATTTACGTGTGTTTTTTTTGTGAGAGAAAACACTGTAGCGAGCCACGAACCATGATTCGAACCATGGCACGAATCCTTGAACCAAACGCACACTAACAAACAATCTATGCATTCTACACAGCTGGGGTAGATACCTTTCCAAAAAGCTTCAAAGTCATGGTAGAATTTATTCACTCAAACCTTAATTTAAAAAAATAGTAGAAAAACTTCCAATACAACAATGAGTGTTTCAAACAAATAAGATTGCATACCACTACTCTGTGGCCCCATGATGGAGACAACGGCATATGAAAGACCACATTCGCCAAGCTTTACCTCCTTGATAAAATTGTCAAGTCCCGAGACATTGAATACACCATCTCCATCGATAAGCTGAGTAGAACAGCACTCATCAAAACCTGCAACGCAACAATATGCCTTCGTATTAGATAAACAACAGCAATGACTTCTAAAACATCAAAAATCTCACAACTGACACTTGAAAAGTTTGCTTAGAGCATAAATAGATATGATAAGTTTATGCTTCACGGTATGGCAATGACTGCTGCAAAGAATATCAATTCACAAAGACGAGGTACGGGACCTTTTCTTCTCTTCTGTCTAAGAATTTTGAATAAAATCATCACGATCGGGCACCAGAAATGAGAAAATAAAAATCACAAATTCATACCTCGTTGTTTGGCAAACTGTTGCTCCTAAAAGGATTGGAAAGCTTTGCAAACTGCTGTTTTGGCTCATACCTATTCTAACATATTCAACTCGCCAACGGGAAATAATTCTATAAGACCCAAAAGACCACAGATTTGCAATTCCAGTGTCCTAAACTGTTCCGAAAGAACCTAAACTTCAAAAACCCATTTCTTCTATAGCCCACTTTTTCTTAGCAACTAAACCGGGAGACAGAATTTTTTTCTTTCTAGTACGCCAATTCCCAGGATCAAAAGCCGAAACCCAAAAAAATAATACTAGTAATAAAAAAATAGAAATTCTCTTAATCAAATCATGGAGTTTAATCAAACTTTATAACTTCGAAATCTACATCACATTGAAGCAAACCAATCAAATCGAAGTTAATCACTTAAACCCATCACTCATCAGTTAAGGTTAATTTTGGGGAAAAACAGAGAGAGAAAGAAAACCGTTACACATCAACCGAAACGTATACAAAAATTAAAGGGGAAAGAAATGAAATTGATGGCAATCAGACGATTAAATACCGACAATTTAACAAAAACGATGAAATTTATGAACAAAAAGCTTTAAATGTCGGAATAAGATGCAAATCAGATAGATCAGAGACGAGAAATTACCCATTTGTGTGAGCAAGCGAGATTGAGATCGAATTCGGCTCCGGATTCAGAGATAAAGCAAGAGGTTGGAAATGCGTGAAACGAAGAGAGAGAGAGAGAGAGAGAGGGAGGATTTTAGAGAGAGAAATCGATCTGAATTCTTTAAAAAGAAGGCTTGGCTTGACTATCTCTGTCCCTGTGATCAAAGAGTGCACACAAGAGAAAAATATTAAAAAAGAAAAATTGTTTTTTTAGACCCTTTTGGGCTAAAAGATGTCTTTCAATTTTTTTTATTTTTCAATTTTTTAAAACAACGGAATGTTTTTCAATTTCGTAATTTCGCTTTAAATACATTTTTAATTTTCAATTTCTTATTTAGGTTTTTTTCTATAGGAAAACAATTAGACCAAATTAAAATTTGTGACATACTTACAAATGAGTATTTTCTTTTCGGTGCTAAAATTTAGCGGGAAAAAATACCATGTTAAGAAATAAGGATTGGGTCGTGTAATATTTTTTTTTTTTAATACTTCGCATCTTGGATAGTGTGAAATTTGAAAGGCATGGATTGGAAAAAATAATTGAGCATTATGGTTTTCACATATAAATCCAATTATTTCATTTATGTTACTTCGCACCTGAGAAAAAATAAAGTAAAAGTGGGCAGCTTGGTTTTAGGACTAATTATTGTGGGTCTATAAATCTCTCTCGCAATCACTAATATCTCATCATTTCGTTTTTCTTTCCAACGATTAATGTACAAATAAGTACTTTAAATTCCTTCGGGAAAAAAAAAGAGGTACAATGAATGACAAAATTGTAAGGTAACCTTTTTGTCATTTTACAATTTATTTGATTAAGTGATATTATATCCCATATTATGTGTTGGTGTTCTTAAGAGTTTTGGATTTATTTTTCAATGTTTTTTTTTTTTTTTTTGCTATGACTTGTAAATTTACTAATTAATCACCCCAAATGTATATTTTTAAGAACCTTGACGAAATCGCCTTAACTACCTTTTTGGAAACGAATTGCATTAAGTAGTTATAAATATTAATTTTTGTGATCATATATTATAATTATTCAATGCTTTAATCTCCTGCAGATGATCACACGCTCTTGACATAATTATAGTCGTAATTGGTTGAGTCAATAATGATTCAATGTTCTTCAAGAAAAAACTGATTCAATGGATCTCGGTATAACTAATTATCGTCACCATTGGCTGCGAACCACTTAATTTGACCAAAAGGTTATTAAGCATGGGGTAATTATAATATGCCGGTCCACAATAACAATGTGCACCAGATCTACCAGATTTTCCTCAGTTTATGCGTGTAGCACACGTGGCAACATTTAATTGGACAACTCGCATCGCACTATCATAAAATAGTGAAAATGCTTGACATTGGGATGGAACAAATGCCTTTCTGTCTTTTTTTTCTTTCTTTTTTTTTCCTACTTGTATGTCTTTTTTCTTTCTTTTGTTACTTTTATTTTATGTCTTTTTCTATTTGTTGCGATGAGAAGGAGTGAAACGCTGCGGTTAGGCTTAGATGAAACTCTTGAGCAATGGGGCCCCATCGTATATTCACCGACATCCGTAGGAGAGTGGGACCCGCTTGCCGCCCACATTTCGAGAGAATGAAAAAAGTTGGACGGCGTGATCCCGACGAGCTTTGGAGGTCGGTGGGTCACCCCCTCTCGCCGCCGTCCATACTTCGTTTCGCTGACCAACTCAGCATGGTCCCCACTTGTAATTTGTTTTTTTTTTCCCCAATGATTTTAAAAAAAAATTGGTTGGAAAAAAATCAAACTCTAAAATATAGAAGGTGAATGTACGCTAAGCCCGTCGGTGTCTTGTGGTGAACGTTCGTTTAAGAGCGTCTGTAATAATGTAAATATTAATATTTATTATGTTCCGTTTATTTTATTAATTTAAATTTAAATTTTAAATTTTATTATAGTAAAAAAATTTTAAAAATAATTATATTTAAGTAGACGTTTAATTTATAGGTTCAGAATCATGACTCAAAATTATTATCAGTTTACGTGAGTTTTTTATAAAAGAAAATACTGCATCGAGCCATGAACCATAATCCAAATCATGGCACGAATTCTTACTCCAAACGCAGTATAACTTTTTTGCTACATTAAAAAATTTTCACATAAAGTCACGTCTTAACTCGCACCAACCAACTAAATGAGCCATATATATTTAACATTAAAATTATGATATAGTGTGCTATTTTTATTTTTGATTCGATGCACGATGCTATTTAAATTCTACACTTTTTTTTATAATTTTTAAGCTTTGAAAGTTGTAAAAGTAAATTTTTATTTTTAAAATAATTAGAAAATGTAAATGTTGCATTAATTACATAGAAAAATAAACATTTCAACCAATGAAAATCAAATGTTAAATTTTACATATGTTGTAGTAAAATATAGTATATGAAAAATTTGACACAACAAATAGCATTGCATTGGAGAGTATTTTTTTCACTCAAATATTAAATTTACAATTGACACATTAATTATAATATTACATTAGAGATGCTCTAAAATGCTTACAAAAAAATATATCTCCTAAAATAATCGACGCGAGAAAAAAACTAAATATAAATAACTGAATTTTAGTTTTCATAGAAATCTTTTGTTAGTTTTTTTTTTTTTAACGGAAATTGTATTTAATCAAATGGGATCTTTTGTTAGTTAAGATTGAGTAATTAGCATTGGATTGAGATCATTGTTTATCAATCTTTAATTAAATGGAATATTGTGTTAGTTAGGATATAACTGAATTTGAATAATGAATAGTGAGGTGAATTTTCAAGCCATTATTTTATTTTTGAAAGCAATTTTCAATCCATTATTAATTTTAAACTTTGAGTCGAAATTCTTTTTCTTTCGTTTTAGAATGATTTTCTTACTGATATAATCGTCAACATTGATTAAGCAAAAATAATCGCGTCAAAATTGGTTAGTTTGGAAATTTTTTTTTTTTTGTTGGATTAGAATTTATAAAGTTTTCTACCTTCCATTCCCATGTTGAATTACCTTTTTGAAAACTTTATTCTAACACGATACATTAAATATATATTTGATTGTATTTATATTAAAAAAAAAAACTTCTAAAGTTGCTGAACATTATTTCGTTTACCAAGAGTTTCGTTTCAAATTATTGGAGATTGCAAAATGGTACGAAACTATAATAAACCTAAAATATCATAAAGGAGGTGGAAGGACCATCGATAAATGAATTTGTCAACAATTTTTCGTGCATGTAGGTGGCTTTGTTTTCGAAAAAATCAACAAAATGTCCTCATAACGAGGAATGCAAAACACACCAAAGAACATACCTCTATTTTTGGAAACTTTGTCGCGTCGTATGAAAAATGCTTTTATGGATTCAACATATATGAACGACAAAAAAAAAAGTTCATAATGTTTGGATTATGATGTTGATTTCATTAAAAAGATAGAGACAATAAAATAAGGGTAGAGTTGGAAGTTTATTCTAATGTGGGCATAATCTAGGACAATATATATATATATATATATATATATTTTGCAGTAACTGCTAATACATCTAAATCCAAATAAAAACGCAAGCAAGTAGTTTAGTGTTATTTTTTTTCTAACAAAATAATATTAAAACTAAAAGTAAAAAATAGGATAAATCTTATTGGTGCTCCTGAATTTTAGAGTCATTTCCACTTTATCCTTTAAATTTTAGAAACTCTCGCTTTGCAATCTGAATTTTGAATTTGTCTCTAAGTCATTTTATAAGAATTTATTGAGAATTTAAATGAAAAAAGAGGGAGTTAAGTGTGGCCATATTGTTTTTATCTATTTATTTTTAACAAAAATTTTAACAAAAATACTACGTGGCTGCATTACTCTCTTTTTTATATGTTTTTAACATAAATTATAACAGAGAGAGAGTGTTAAGTGAAAACAATTCAAAATTCAATGGGATAAAGTAAGAGTTCTTAAAATTCAGAGACAAACTGATAATAACCCTAACGTCCAAAATACTAGTGATAATAATCCTAAAATATATTAGCAAAAGAGCATGAAAATATAAAAAAGATACCTGCAAATTCACTCATGTTATCACTCTAATTTTAGATTTTAAATATATATATATGAGGATTAGTGTTGGGATTTTAAAAGAAACTTTGTGATAGCTTAGGTCTTGTTCATTTTACCGATTCGAATTTAAAATTTGAGTTTTACTACAGTAAAAAACTCTCATAAACAGTCATATCTAACTTATTAAATAAAGTCATATCTCAACTCGAATTAACGAACTAAATTGGCCCTTAATATCTAACGGTGAATGTGGGGGGGTTGAATCTGTATTGAGGCTATTGTTTGGATCATTTCTGAAAAAAAATTGAAAATAAATGATTATCATTGTGTCCTTGAATTATAACTTGTATCATTTTAATCCTTAAATTTTTAATTTTTAACAAATTAATCATTGATTTTTCGTTTTGATTGTTTTGGTCTTTATGCTAAAATTGACGAAAATTTTCAAAAATTTGAGATAAAGAATTACGTCTTAGTCGCATAATAACACTTTTCACAGAAAGTTATTTAAAATGCAAAATATTCCGTTATAAAAAATCTTTAAAATCTATATTATACTTTACATTTGGTTATTGTCACAAAAATTTCAGTTACTATGCGATTTAGACATTCAAAACATTGTACATAAAACGAAATTATTTCCAACATTTATTTTAAATCTCTTAATATTGTACATTTATGTTTTATTTATTTCACCGATTTGAGTTTTCAATTCTTTATTTTTACATTTAAAAACTCTCAGAAAATATCACATCTAATTTTTTTGCTACAGTTAAAAACTATGCCTTAAATTTCAAATTCGTATCAAAATTGTAAAAGTTGGGTCTACCACCAATTTGGAACGCTGAATTGATAAATTTACCATTATAAGTGAATGGGTAACCATAACCAAACATGATTTAGGCAATAAAAATTGTTAAAATTGTATTTTAGAGCCCAACTTTCAAGAGTAATATGTCAATAATAAATTTAATTATAAGTTTATTTAAAAAATAAAAAAGTGGATTTGTGAATTTTAAAATCAAAACTAGCCGACTAAAAAAATATAAATCTAACATGAATTTTATTGCTACAACGTTTGTGAGAGAAAACGTTGTAGCAATAAAATTTGAGTTGTAAAAAAAATAAAACTACATACTTTACTTTTTTTTGTAAATCTAAAATACAAATTTCAAGTTTAAAATAATAAACAATGATTATAAAGATAGTGACAAGGGATAAAAAAAAAGGGGTCATTTTTAGTCCTTGGACTCGACTATAGGTTAAATCTCATTTCGAGCATAAACTTTTTAAAACACCTCAAAATAAGTAATTTACCAAATTTTTTCACATTAATTGTTTAGTGGCCTCGTTTGCTTCGCGGATTTGAGCTGAGATATGACATTTTCTTAGAGTTTTTAACTGTAACAGAAAAAGTTAGATTTGACATTTTATAATAGCTTTTAACTGTAGAAACATAGAATTGAAAACTCGAATATGTGAAATGAACGAGGCTTGTAATTGTTAAAATTTTAAGAGTAAAATACAAAGGTTTATTCTTAATAGTCATGCCTTAAAATGCATATGGTTTTCACTATAATAATAAGTTTAGGTTGGGTCAAACGGACTGAACCGAACATCTTTTAAGGCTACTTGATAAAAACCTACTGGGTGATGAAGGATCCAGGTCACCATTCCGACCTGATTAGACACCTTATATATATATATAGTTTATTTTTTTAATGGCTTATAAAAGTTGTATCTGATTAGGCCAACCTTTTTCTCACTTTGACTGATCTTGTTCGATTTTACCATTTTAGACTTTATAACCCTAGCTCTCACATGCCTTTTTTTGTTGAGATCTTTACTATAAGATATATTAATTTATGATATGTTGGGAGATTTTTCCGAGACGGTCTAAGATCATGAAACATGTCATGGACCCCTGTTGGACAAGAAACTGAAGCCAAGATGTGCGAAGAGATCGATGCCTGCCTTGATCAAGGGAACGAATGGACCTCAGTCGATGGATGAGATCGAGACTGACAGAGAACTCTGGCGCATTGACACCGAAGCGGACCAAGGTCGAGGGAAAAGTGTGAATGACTCCTGTCAATGAAAGGATCATGAGGCAGTGACATGCGTTCCATCATCAAATTAATGATGACATGTCATGATCAAGATGGACTAAGAATATCCATCTGATCATGACAATTATAAAAAATGATAAAGACTGAAAATGGGACTTTTGGGGAAAAAGAGAGACCCTCCAAGACCTTTTAGATTTTCTTTATTCTCTATTTTATCTTTCATTATTAAACCCTTCGGGTTTTTAACTGACATGAGCGTAGAGTGTTTCCTGCATAACAATTTATGGCGTCTTCTAATAAAGAAGTGATCGGAAAACAATAGAAGAGGAGACAGAGCAACCATTGGAAATTGATGATTGAAAAACCGCACAAATATGATCACATACGTTTCAAAAAGTTACAGACAGAAATTGAATTTGACTTGGAGGTATTGTATTGAATTCCAGTCTTTTCAACAAGTCAATTAATAGTTCATACCGTTTAATTTACTGATTTAAATTTAAATTTTAATTAAAATATAATTTTATTATAATAAAAAAATTAAATATGATTATTTTAAATTTTTTTTTTATAATAAAATTCGAATTTTAAAATTAAATAAGTAAAATGAATGTGCATCAGCAGTATACTACCAGCGACTAGCGAGAACAACCAAAAGCAAGTAAAATAAAGACCCACCCAAGGAATCACATTATTCGGCACCGCAGAGGGTCAGAACTCGTCAGAATCTAAAGGCCCCAAATTGGCGGGAAAATAAAACATTAGAAGTAGAAGAAGACGAAGAGAGAGAGTTAGTTGTAGCTGCAGAGCGAGAAAGAGAGAGAGAGAGAGAGAGAGTAGAGAGAGAAAATGAAGGAGAGAGGGAAAGGGACGGAGCCATCGGTGGAAGAGAGGTACACACAGTGGAAATCCCTCGTCCCCGTTCTCTACGACTGGCTCGCCAACCACAACCTCGTCTGGCCTTCTCTCTCTTGCCGGTCCGTTATTCTCTCTCTCTCTAAATATATGTATATATACATGTGCGTGTGTATGTATATAATTGTCTTACAATTTCTGTTTTGATATTTCCAAATCCGAAAATGTACTTTCCCTGCCTTCTGTTTGGATGCCGGAAAAATGTGGGTAAGGGAAATTGAAGAAAATAGAGAACGAAATGGATCAATAGCGGATGATAGGGTTCACTGTTGGTTCCATTTCGTCTGTGGTTTTAGAGAAGAACAAAACAAGTTTTTGCAGTTTTTGGCGGTCCGTGTCCCGTATCTCTCTAGGGTTTCTTGATGTTTTCTACTGAATGTTGAGGTTTAAGATGTTTGGTTCATGCGAAAAATGTGGGTTTCTTTGTTTCTTTCTGAGTTTCTGCGATTTTAGGTTTCGTGTGGCTGTGCTTGAATTTGTGATCACAGTTCACATCAATGGAAACTTATATTTTGTGTATTGATTTTGATAGATGGGGTCCGCAACTAGAGCAAGCCACTTACAAGAATCGTCAACGTCTTTACCTTTCTGAACAGGTATTTATTTATTTATTTTTCGGTTTACTCCCAAGCATTTTCGATCTGTCTTTGTAGAAGCACTTTATTGAGCTGGAGTTTAATTTGAAGAGAGAAATGTGAATTAGTGTGGTGCCAGTATCTTGGGTTTGTCGACTTTCAGGGTATTCTTGAGTTTGGCAAACAATATGTTTTTGGTATCATTTTATCAATGTCTAAACACTAATTGTGACTTAGAGGGCTCTTGGTTGCAATTTTTTCATGAAATCTGGAGTGATTCAGTCCATTTTTTAAAGACGTGCTGGTTTTCAGGGCTATCGTTCGAGTAAATTTTCAACATTATGCTTGTGCCGCTTCTTAATAGCATCATCCTTGTTGCTCTTTTTTCTTCTAATTGCTGTTTTTTTTTTGCGCAGACTGATGGCAGTGTTCCGAATACACTGGTTATAGCCAACTGTGAGGTGGTCAAACCTAGGGTTGCTGCTGCGGAACACATATCTCAGGTGATGCCGCAATAAACAATCAGTTTTCTGCTTCCTTCTATTGCTATCCATAATCAAATGTGCTATTTATTTTATGAAATTACGAGTTTATTTGCTGAATTGCCACGGTATGTTCTTGTGGCCGATTGTTACAGTTCAATGAAGAAGCACGCTCGCCCTTCGTGAAGAAATATAAAACCATCATTCATCCAGGCGAGGTGTGAATTTCTTTTATTGTCAAGTGACTTCTCACTTTTGGTTTTTCTTGCTTATCAAGTTCGACTAAAGTGTTTGGCGATTAGCGGTTCTTACTGAAATGAGTATTAAGTGCTTCTTTAAGTTAATATAGCATTTTAACTTGAAAATAAAATTGATAGCCTTTTAAACAAAGTTTACTATCATTGTTGTCCGAGTGGGTAATGATTGTGAACAGTAAAAAGACGTTCATCACTTTAAAATCAGCTCTTGTCTGCTTGCATCCAAAATATCTTTTCTGAAAAAGGCTGATTGTGTCTCAGCTTATATTTGCTCAAAGTGAAGGAGCTATTCTTTTAAGCTTACTTCAAATGAGGAACTGTGTTGTCTTTTATCTATGGTTATGATTTGCAGGTGAACAGAATCAGGGAACTCCCACAGAATAGTAAGATAGTGGCTACACATACTGACAGTCCTGATGTAAGTACTTATCTCGTCATTTCTATACTAAATGAGATATGAAGTCTTTAGGATTTGCAAATATCTGATTACCATTTAAAGTTTATAATTGAGTGAAGCTCAATGTGGTTTAAATTTTTTAACTTATAACGCCAGGTCTTCATTTGGGATGTTGAGGCTCAACCTAATCGTCATGCTGTATTGGGAGCTACAATTTCCCGTCCTGATCTGGTGCACCCTGTTTGCTATTTTAATTTTTTATACATCTTTTTAAGTACATTACTTTTTCAAATTTTATTAATCTATGTCTATTGACTGTTGGTTCCCTTCTATAAACTTTACAATTTATTATCCCTTTCTTAAATATGTGCGTACTAATTTATATTCCGTCATCTTGCAGCTTTTAACCGGGCATCAAGATAATGCTGAATTTGCTCTTGCTATGTGCCCAACTGAGCCTTTTGTACTCTCTGGAGGTTAGCTATTATTTGATATTTTATTTCTTAGATTTTTACAGTTTTCTATTCAGGCATTGCTACCAGTCATTGTTTTTCAATCATGGGCTGGGGGATATTATTACGTAATATATTTGTTTTTCATTGATAGATTGACAATGTTGTATAGGTTCTACTAGCGCCATATCACTGATTTTTCTATTGAGAAAGGCATGCATAACTATTATGCTTTAAGGCCATATGATAATTTTCCTTTATGTTTTAATCAATGTTTAGTCTGTATGTTTAATGTTTTGATTTGCAAATGACATGTTATAACTTGGGATGATGTTCTTGACTAAAACTGTAAACTATATTCCTACTTCCTCTCAAATGCATCCTGATTGAAAAAATTATTATGGCAGGCAAGGACAAGTCAGTAGTCCTTTGGAGTATTCATGATCATATCTCAACTTTAGCGTCAGACTCAGCAGCCACAAAATCTCCGGGATCTGGTAGCTCCAATACTAAACATGCTAAGGTTGGTGGGAGTAATTACATACCTGCAGACAGCCCTTCACTTGGACCACGAGGTGTCTACCAAGCACATGAGGATACTGTTGAAGATGTGCAGTTTTGCCCATCAAGGTAGCTACTATTCAAGTTTGATTAGTGGTACGATTGTATATGTAAACTTGGAATAAGTGATAACTGGAAGATGCCTTGGTGATTATACTTTAAAGGGATAATAATATAAATGTGCCTCGTAGATTTATTTTTTTTTCTCGGTTTATCTCTATGTTTTTAGAAACTAGAAAGGCATCTTTTGAAATGGAAAAATATGTTTCAATTTCATCCTTCTTGCACTCTTTGGAGGAAAAAATACAAAAAGACAGAAATACCTTTAATAGTTTCTGAAAATATTTTAAGAAATTTTATGTTTTCCTTCAGAAACATTGTCAAAGGCCATTTTTGCCTTTGGTTCTATTTTTTATACAAAAAAATGCATGAGGATGAATTTGAAAGACATTTCTCAAATCTAAGGGACATCTTTGTAGTTTTAAAAAATAAAGGGATAAATTGAGAAAAAGAATGAAACTAGAAGGTATACCTATATAATTACCCTGAATAATAAATTAATCCTTTCCCTTACTCCCTCTTTCTTTATTTGCATTTAAAAAAAATCAATTATTCTTTTTTTTTTTGTATGTTGCCTTAATATTATGCAGTTATTTTTATGATTGTCTTTCCCAACTTTCTAAAATATATTAATTGTTTGTTTGTTTGTTATCTATGTATTGCAGTTCTCAGGAGTTCTGTAGCGTAGGTGATGATTCTTGCCTCATACTGTGGGATGCAAGATCTGGCTCTGCTCCTGTTGTGAAGGTATGCATTTTCCCCTTAATTATTTGGTCCATTTGTTTGTTACTCATTATGACATCTGTTATTGTGATGACAATTGACAATATGGTGTTAGGAACCTAGCTATTTCTTGAATAAACACAGTAGAAATCACAAAAAATAGAAGATGACTTTATTGACCGAATGAAGCAATGTAGTACTTCGGATAATAAGATAGCAGCATTCGAGAGGCTGCCGCTCTCCCAAGGCTTTCCCTAATTTTCACACACCAGACCTTGCTCTCATCAGCCACTAAACCCCCAATTTATAATTCCTACTAACAAACGTCTACCCAACTGCTTAAAAGACTACTAACCCGTAGCAACAACCAACAAACCACATAACCAACCACCTATCAAGTTCCTAACATACAGTATCCCTCATTGCTATGTTTTTCCTTTTTATTTCCTAGAAAAAGAGAGAAAAGAAACATTCAAGGGAGGGTAAAATGATGTGGTGGCTTTCTTTATAGCAAGAATTCAGATTCATAACCGTGACAAGTATTTAACTTGTTAGTACTTATTTGTCATGCTGAAGGCCTGGTTAGATGCATGACCATGAACAATAATAGTGAACTCATGCAATCCCATTGCCCACCCTTCAGGTTTTTTCAACTTCAGTCAGTTGATCTCCTATTCTTGGCAGGTTTTAGACTTGCAATTGATCACAGTATGATTTGTAAATGTTGCACAGTGCTTGTTTGCTCTATGAAGTGATGCAGTGCTTTGATAGATTAAATATCTTTCTCCTTATTTATGCTGCTGTTTGGCATTGATATATGCATATGTTTTGTGGAATTTAACTTGTTGCATTTCTTGTTCAAATTACATTTGTGCAGGTTGAAAAAGCTCACGATGCTGATCTTCACTGTGTTGATTGGAACCCTCATGATGTCAATCTCATTCTAACTGGGTATCTATGTATAATTGTTCCCAATAGATAAGCTGCCTTAGGTTGATCATGCATTTCGTGCTGTTAATCGGTATTTTAGTTCCAGCATCTGTTGAATTAACTTTTATCTATCCCGGAGGTGCATTGTCGTCTATTGTTTGAATGTATCCTTCTGATTTAAACTCAGGTCCGCTGATAATACTATTCACATGTTTGACCGACGAAATCTCACTTCTGGTGGTATTGGATCCCCAGTTCATAAATTTGAAGGTCACAATGCAGCTGTCCTTTGCGTACAGGTGTCAGAAATTTTTTTGGCTATTTTCCTTAATCTTTCTGATTTTTTTCTGATCTTTAAAAATCGTTTTTCGTTGGCTTTGCCTTTGCTGATATATATAATGTACTCGTTTCCAGTGGTCTCCAGACAAGTCATCCGTCTTTGGAAGTTCTGCTGAGGATGGCATTTTAAACATCTGGGATCATGAGAAGGTGTGTCTATAGATGTTACTCCATAGTGGCTTTGGTCTCTAATCCTCCCTGATTAAAAAACTATAAAGCTAATTAATAAACAGAAATGTGAAGAGTCAGTAGTGCTACTTTAATGAGAGCAAATGTGGAAATTTCTGATTACTGTACTCTGTGGATGAAAACAAGATGTACCAATGGGTCTGAAAGAGGAAGGCATAAACAAAGCAATTTGAAAGTTGAACGACGAGATATATTAAGGATTATGTGTGCTCAAAGACTATTAGTTGTTATTTTCTTTCAGATTGGTAAAAAGCAAGAATCTGTCGGATCAAAGTTGCCAAATGCTCCTGCAGGCTTGTTCTTTAGGCACGCCGGTCATAGGTATGTATGCCCTACATGTGTACTAAGTTATAACCATACGCTTGTAGGAACATTAACATTTGCAGACATTATTTTCCAAAAAGCTTATTTGGAATATGATATGCTACTATGATTTTTGGGCCAATAATTGCTGTCCTTTATATTTGTTCCATATTTTCACAATGATTGATTTGTAATGGACTGTAGGGACAAGGTCGTTGATTTTCACTGGAATGCATCTGATCCATGGACGATTGTTAGCGTGTCTGATGATTGTGAAAGTACTGGAGGTGGTGGCACACTACAGGTAATCTAAATTCTAAGAAGTACTCAATTTTTTGTTCAAACATTTAGAGCTTGTTTGGTAGGAGGAAAAATGGGAGGAGGGGGATGAACGAGGGAGAATTAATGGAACGATTTTGGGACCTATGTTTGTTTGGTAGTAGAGAAAAGAGGAGGGAATGGATTGGGTGAGGCTGATTTCAAATCCTCCAAAAACCCCAATATTAATCTCTCCCAACATAGACAGGGTTGTAGAGGTTCCAAACATAATAAAAAGAAGGACCATCTTCTTCTGCTATATTTTCCTTACATTGGTTATATGCCTTTCTTTGCTTTCCTTTTTTTTCCTCTTACCAAACAAAGCCTTGGTGATGAAAAACACAAGTGAACACTTTATCCCAATTATTGGTTTGAGCTAAGCAAATGACTATTTCCTATGCAGATATGGCGGATGATTGATTTGATCTACAGGCCAGAGGAAGAGGTCCTGGCCGAGCTGGACAAGTTCAAGTCTCACATACTGACATGTGCTTCGTGACTTCTCTTACCAAAGTTGGATAAACTTTGTTTCCTTTTTTTTTTTTTCCTTTTTTTCTTTTTTTTTTTCTTTGGGTCTAGATAGTGATTTGCCCAATTGCAGTGATTCCCTTTTGAAAAGAGAAACATCTGGGACAAATGAAGACGACTAGGGAAGCCAAATACTGTTTAGAGCTTGGTTCAGTAGTTGCTCATGGTTTCACAAAAACTGGAGAGATATTTGGTTCATTCATTGGGTTATTTGGCAAATTGACATTTGTCTGGGTTCTTGTGGTCCAAAAAGCCCACGGCAAATAGAATCAAAATGTGAGGTTTTGTTTTCAGTCCTTGGTTTCTAAATGCATCCTAGGTACTGCCCTTTGGGCTTATCCTTGGACCAACTCTTTTTTTTTAAAAAAAAAAATAACTTTTTTCTGATCTTTTTAGCAAAGGGGAGGGAAATTTTAACCATATACATCCAACATTGAAGAACAATGTAGATATTAATTAGGTTAAAATTTAGGAAATTTTTAAAAAACTAAACATAATAAAATTTCTGCACTACCTCATCAGCTTAAAAGAAGCCAATTATAAGAGTACTAGAAACCTAAATAACTAAGAGGGACAGATTATTGTCAGAGTGCTACTAACCTAAGTGAGTTAAAACTAATTGCTTGTTTGGAAACAATTCGTTTTAAAATAATTTTATTTTTTGTATGAAAATGAAAATGAAAATGT